TTTAATCTGGCTTGGTTTCAATAACCTTCTCTGGAAGCCGTTAAAGTTGACTTGGCTTTATACCGAGGCTTCCTGGAATATCCTGGAACCTTTTCCGGAACCATATTGAACCTGATCTGGCTCTGCACCAAAACTTCCCATCCCTTTTCCGAAACCTTCTCCGGAACCTTTTCGGTTCCCTCCTTGCCAGCATGGGCTGCACAGGTCTTAAGAAAATTATAAAGTAATTATATTCAAGAATTGTTAGCATGTCTTTTTCACTAAATCCAATCATCATATATTATATCTCTTCCAAACACAAATTTCCATTATCAAAATATACAAAAAAACAGCAGAATATCCGCAATCATAATTAATTAAGCTAACAAATTTTATTCATATTTATTATTTATATATTTATCTAATTTTATTTATTGCTAAGTATATATTTAATTTATTTTATTTTAAATATCCAGTTATATTCCCAATTTATCGTATTTTTTTACAAAATAAAATTGATTAGATATCGATATGGCGGTTTGTGTATTTAATTAGGTTTATTCTATATATTATTAATTAAAGCGCATCAATATAATATATATATTTTTTTTTTCATTGTTGTATTATTCGTCAGAGTTCCTGCCAATGAATTGGAATTAATTGGATTATCTGATGATAGATCATGTTGTGAAAATATCTTTTGAATATGTTGAAGGTTTCTTTCTTCCTCCCCATTCCATTGGATAATCGAATGGATGCTATTCCTATTTGGGGGAAAGGATGAATAAAATTATTTTCCAAAATATATTTATTATTGTAAACCATAAGAGGTTTTTTGTGGTCCAATTAATATCCAGAGTTGATAATAGGATGTTCCATAGTCCATAATTTATAATCCCAGTATCCTTATTGCCTAGCTACAATATGCTATGATTTCTAGCATTTTATTATGCAGTCGTCTCAATGTGCTAATCATCTCATCCTTGTCGAAAAAATATATGGACCGGTTTGGTAATATCTACCATCATCTACGTATTGGTTGTTGAATGGGGGGAACCCCATGTCAATCAACCAACCTGTGACAGGAAAACAACCTAGAATGAATTAAGTTGTTGATGGTTATTCACTTATTCCAAATTCCAAGAGAATAAGCATTCTACCAAAAATCATCAACTATCACATGGTTGGGAAACTCCAAACGGTTCCCTTCATTTTCGGGAACATGGATACCCCTAGCTCCGAGTCGCTTCCTCCGCACCATAGTTCATGATAGGTACAAGTGGTTATATAGTTATATCATATTACATCACTAGCCATCATCATTGAATCATCCATAACTATCAGTGGCTCCCCATATTCCAACTTCTATAATCCAATCAAATTTTCACCGTTCGTTAAATGCGATAGAAAATTCCCACACCGACCCCCAACGACCCGCGGCCTCTTCCGCATCTCCTTGACCGATGGGCGTCAGGGCCGGGCAGCCGATCTTCTGCTGCAGCCGCGCCACCACATCGCCACAACTGGTGGGTCGTCCCGTGGAGCCGTGATGGCCGTCGGGGATGGTGTTTCTTTCTGGGGATTTTCCATGTTGATTTCCTGGTGGTATTTCTGATCTAGAAAAATCCATGGGCGAAAATTCCTCAGTTTCTCCACATCAAAGTGTGCGAATGTTCTCCAGCAAACATCAACGAAAACATGCGTCCAACTTGCTGCCTGTGACGTGAATAGTGCACTGTTGGATGAGGATGGATCCCATGCCTTTTGACCATGATCTATTTGGGGGTGGTTTGATTGAGATCCATTTTCAATTTCAGTGGTGTGTCCCAAATTGATATGTGCATTATATATTTTAGAATTATATGATGGGATAGAGAGAGAAGCGATTGAATATTGCTAGGAAGTGGTAGGAATTGGTAGGAATTGGCCAAGAAGACGTTCAAAGGTAGCCGGTAGCCCAACCATCTGGGTATGGGCCAAAATGGGGTAGCCCAACAATGGGATTGTCCACGAGGAGACGCCAACGTGTACCACCCGTTGCAACCTTGCAACCCAAGGGGCGATCTGCCAGTGACGTACTTTCCATGGAAGGACACATCTGCCATCCGTACCTGATGATATTGATAGGAATGTGGGGCGAATGAGGATATCATGAGCCAAAAAAGCGGCAACAGAACCAAGAGTGTTCAGCAAATCTCCCATTAGCAATAGGGTAAGTCGCTCAAGAAATGGTACGAATGGACCATCGCTCACCCGGACACAAGGCAGTTGCAGCTGAGGACAGGCTACTGAAGCAAATGGATGCAAATGGCATATCAGGGTTAACCTTAGGCACACTTTTAAACATGTCGATTTCTAGTGTGATATGATTTTTTTCAACAGCTGAAAATCAACTCAAAAACTAATCGATTCAGTCAAGGTGTACCCAGTGCAAGGAACACAACTGTGCTCGGAACTCGAAATTCAAATGACATGAGACAAAAACATTTTCAATGGGAATTTCAGATCCTAAAATGGAGGTACTGTACCATATAAGGGCATATTTTCTAGGGATATTCCCTTACATAGGCCTCCAATTTAGGTTCCTGAAATGGCCATTGACATTTGCATGGACAAATCATGAAGGATGGAATAACAAAACATCACGTTCATTGCAAGGCTGAATGACCATTGAATTGACCTCCAAGTCATATAATCTGTATATCTATAGACCTGTAGATAGCAATCCCAAATAGATAGAAGAGCCGGAAACCTGGAAATTATGGAGACATCATTTAAAAAAAACATCCTGGAAACAGCTGTTCTATCTTTTTGGGAATCCCGAAAATTTAACTGTGAGAGAAATGGAACGCACTCTCTCCAAGACGGGGTCTCATTTAATTCCATGTTTCAGTTGAAAGTTGCCTTTTCAGATAGTGTTTGTATAAACACACAGGCTACAACAGTCCAATATGTTAAATGTCATGGCACCAAAACATCTCAAAAGGTTGGGTACTGTAGTAGGACGTAAGGATAGGATTCGGGAGTAGCCCTAATTCAAATGCGAGTTCATCTGCTACTAGAATGGTAGCCCTCCAATGATCAACGGCCCAGGGGGATCAGGGGGTTGTTCGCAAAATCTGCTGCCTCGGGTGGTGCTTCGAAGCAGCCTGGGGCCAGGCACAGTTCACCCATCCCCCAAGCCACTGTGGCAGATATGGGTGGACATTGTTTTTGTTGGGTTGTATCTCCCCAGAATTGCCTTTTCAACAGGGATAACATGAGGTTTTAAACCATGAGATTGACAGATTCATGACTGCCCGAAATGGGGGGTCAAATGACACACGCAAACGGCTAGTTTCCTATTTAAGCATCCAATTTTGCGGGTGAACAATTTCGAGGCATAGCTCTCTCGATGACGATTGTCGACTCTGACACCCTCACTTGTAGTCCCAACCTTTACTCTGAAAAGGGGGCTCACAAAAACCACCTAATAGTGGTGAATGGTGCTTCACCAAGAAGTGATGTTTATGGTCAAATTCCCAGAAATTCCTTGACTTTCATGAGCATCTTGGACCAGTCCAAAAACACATTTTTCAGCCCCGGATCTGGACTTTCAACTGAACGACAAGCCACAGAATTCCATGACTCCATGGCTGTTTTTTGTATGCCAAATCATGAAATGTTTGTTGACAAGTTGGTGATTTATGGTTAGATCATAGTTTTTTTTGTAAATATCCGGTGTAGTGATTCTTCGGGAGACTTTCTGGGTCTGTTCAAAATGTCAACCTGATGGTCCCACAACGGTTGTTGACCGCCGGCTAGATTTCATCTCATCTCGTCCCCATCGCCATCTGCCCTGGAATCCGTTACAATTTCTTCTCACTAATATGAAATATTATGAAATTAGTACACACCGCACCAGAAACCATGGCTTTGTAGGAGATGACATCTCATATTGGAACCCAAAAAATATAGGCTGTGTTTAATTTTGAGGGGATGGGAAAAATATAGGCTGTGCTTAATTTTGAGGGGATGGGATAAAACATTTTGGAGATAATTTTCTCACTAAACGTAGGTTTCCCATGGTTTCCTAGTTTCCACAGCCAGGTTCGATTACCAAAAGATTACCCTCTGGGAATCTAACATAGCCCTGGAACGATAGAAAAATGGTCATGTGATAGATAAACCATCTACAAACGGGTACGTTTTTCTATTGTTTCCCCGTTGTTTCCATTAAACAAAAGGTTACCCTCTGGTAATCAAACATGGCAACAGAAAATCCATTTCAAGCCTCCATTTCGTTCGAGGATTTCCCAGCTTGCCATGTTTGATTACTGGAGGGATTGATATGTATATATAGACATATATATATATATATATCCTATAATATGATATATATATACATACATATCCACATATTATATATATCCGCCGACCCCAGACAGCAGCAGGGGGAGCGCGTCAGAGGGCCAAGGCCTGGCATTCATGTGGCAGAAGCAACATCATCCGTGCTTCACTGCCATGGCGTTTTGGCTCTGCGAGACCGTCCTTTGAGCGAAGCTGGAAGTGCAGGTAGGCGACTTCATTGCCATGGTGTTTTGGCTCTGCGAGACCGGTCTGAGCAAATAGCATTTCCACAATTAGTTTTCACAAAACCAACGTCTCCGGGAACAGACGCTCCCATGGAAAGATGATGTCAAAGTGCATCCAATGTTTCATGTACGTATGGCTGAAGGTCCAGGCTTCTGCTTGCTGATGTGCGCTCACAGACGGTCCTCGTTCCTTTCTTTGGGCCCTTTGTTGTCCTTGCCACAAACTACATCGAATGAAAGCACACGATGATCTCCCCACCTGAATCTACTTGTCAGGTCAAACAAACATGCAGACTGCTTGCAGGATGTGCTCCATTCTAACTACTTCGTCCTCGTTTTCTTCCTTCTGTGCTTCCTCCAAGACAGAGTCAAGCAATGCGACGATCTGAGAAAACCGCATTTCTACAGTTATTTTTCACGAAACCAACGTCCCCGAGAACAGACGTTCCCATTTTGCTTCCTGATATGCACACAATTGCACACATAGAAGAGCAGCCAATGATCTGCCCACCCTCTGCTGCATGTCAGTGCGAACAAAACTGCGGAATGATGCTCCCACTGCTTGCAGGCTGTGCTCAATGCTGACTCGTCCGTCCTCCTTGTCTTCCTTCTCTGCTTCCTCCTAGCCAGAGTCAAGACATGACGCCATCGAAGAAAACACAATTTCTACAGCTATTGAAAGAAACCAACATCTCTGAGACCAGATGTTCCCATAGGAAGATGATGCCAAAGTACATCCAGAGTTGCAGGTATGTACAGCTGCAGGTCGCAGTGTTTGCTTGCTAATATGCACTCACAGAACATCCTCTTGCATTTCTTTTGTAGTAGTAGTACAGGTACTAACAATATAGTCATAGTACTAGTCGTAGTAGTAGTAGTAGTAGTAGTAGTGGTCGTCGTCGTCGTAGTAGTACTAGTAGTAGTACTAGTAGTAGTACTAGTAGTAGTGCTAGTAGTAGTAATAGTAGTAGTAGTAGTAGGAGTAGAAGTAGGATTAGTAGTAGTAGTAGTAGTAGTAGTCGTCGATAGTAATAATAGTAGTAGTAGTAGTAGCAGTACTAGTAGTAGCAGCAGTAGTAGTAGCAGTACTAGTATTGGTAGTAGTAGTAGTAGTAGTAGTCGATAGTAATAATAGTAGTAGTAGTAGCAGTACTAGTAGTAGCAGTAGTAGTAGTAGTAGCAGCCGCAGTAGTAGTAGTAGTAGTAGGAGTAGAAGTAGGATTAGTAGTAGTAGTAGTAGTAGTAGCAGCATCAGCAGCAGTCAGCAGCAGTCAGCAAAGTAGCAACAGCAGCGCATCCGCCCAAAGGAGCATCTATCCACATGTCGTAACATAACACCAACTTCTAGATCTAACATGTTGCACCTAGACCCACCAATATCAACCCTGTCAGCGGCTGGTTCATTACGCCTTTGGTCTCGCTTTGACTTTCGGCTTTGTCTGGCAAGCGCTTCTTGTAACAATGCACACTGCTTTACAAATCCCAAAGGTCATTCGAACATTCCAAACCACTCTGATCCCGGCCTGCATAACAGTCGGGGGCTTCTTTGGGGCTTTCACGCTGGCTTTCTTTTTTTTCTTTGTCCCCTCCGCAGGATCAAGGGACAGCCTTCTGACGTCTTCGGGGGCCCTTTTGCATGCATGACGGATATACATCTTTCCCTCTATATCTACATGTTTCTCTCTCTCTCTCTCTAGATAGCTATGTTGACAAACTGCCAACCTCTATACAGTTCATAAGTTAGCCATTGGCTCCCGAAAGCATATCCAAACACTAGAATAACATCCCTGAAGATTTCAACCAACGCAACCTTCAGCTTCAACTGCAGGAATCCATGGGGATCACCTGTTAGTGGAAAGGCCCAGATACATTTTGGGTCGAATTTGGACGCCTCACCAACTTGGCGCTTCTTGACTTTCTTCGTCTTTGCCTACGGGCAAAGTAAAGACACAGAAGATAGTGAAGCCACATGATGCTTTGCATTGAAAGCTAGTCCGCGTCCAACTTTATAAACTAGTAGCGTCGACATGCAACATCACTCTCCGGCCTCCGTGGCAGCTACTGCAGGTGTCTCGGTTGCCTTGCGCATCTACCCAAAAAAAGTCGGTCACCCATGCCACTCCAACATACGACAGATTACCACATTCATTCTGGTTCATGAGTTGGCCTTTGGCCCTGGCCTCCTCACTCCACCAGTTTTCATTCCATTCTCCGTATTGTTCATCATATGCGTCCTGCGCAACCAAAACTCCCTGATGATTTGAGAGAAAAGATCAAGTAGACAAATCCTTCCCGGTGGGTCGGTCTGTCCTTCTTCTCCTTCTTCAGAACCTTCCTTTTCTTTACCCTCGGTCAGTGAACAGAAAAATGGCTCTTCTTCTATGTACTCCACATGTCCAATGATTTCACATGAACAAAAACCTTACAGACTGGACTCTGTCATCATGCGCCCTGCCATTACCATCTGCCAAGGCACATCAGCCCCACGCGCACGCTACAGACCGCGCAGGAGCTTGAGACACCACAGCTGCAGGCACCACATTTGCCCTCCAATTAACAAGCAGGAACGAGCCGTTGCTCTCTCGTTTCCAATTGCAAGACGTCAATCGCCACCACCCGGTACATCATACTGGGGTCGGCGGCAGGGGGCGTAGCCCTTTTATTTATATATATATATATATGTATATATCCACATGGAATCCGGCCAGGGGCCCCCTGGCCGTGGCATAGCCGAAGGCGTTTCTCTCCTCTCCGTAGGAGAGAGGGGCCGCCGCCCCCTGCCGCAGACACCCCCGGCCGCCAAAAACCCCCGCGTTTTACGGTGTTTTGTGCTCTTCCCATTTTTTCCCATTTTTCGGATCTTGTGGTTTCAGATGGGTCAACATGGGCCAACATAGGCCTCAAGATGGGCCAACATAGGCCTCAAGCTGGGCCAACATAGCCCCAAGATGGGCCAACATAGCCCCAAGATGGGCCAACATAGCCCCCAGATGGGCCCACATTGCCCTCAAGATAAGCCAACATAGCCCCAGGAGGGGCCAACATAGCCCCAAGATCCGACCATCAAAATGTCCTCCGTTTTACAGCGTTTTTTTCGGACCTTTTGGCTCCACATGGGTCAACATGAGGCCAACATAGGCCAACATATAGCCACAAAATGGGCCAACATAGTTGGGCCCCTGGCCGGCTGTCGCGCGTAAGCGCTTAAATCCTTATCGAATCTCGCATAATCCCGCTACATCCTATATAGATCCCATTCAATTCCTATTTCTTGATGCTTAGTTCCAGGTTTTTCTCAACGGCCCGCGGCCGGCTCGGCAAGTGACGTTGCTCACCGCACTTCGAGGTCACCACATAGTTCGGGGCAAACTGGCCGGGGCAGTTGAGGTTACCTTGGAATAAAGCTATAACCATTGGGCAGTTTTTTATGTTGTTTGAAGCCCTATAAGTTGGGATATGGGTCTATGGCCCTATGGTTGTATAATGTTGTATAATGTTGTATCATGTTGTATCATGTTGTATCATGTTGTATCATGTTGTATCATGTTGTATAATGTTGTATATCCACTCACTGGAACTGCACTTCCTAGAAAACGCCAGGTTTGTATGGCTTTGACTAAACACTTCAGCGCGAAAAAAACAACAAATCATGGTTCATCCTCATTTTCGCCAGTCAAACCGGCCATTTTACAGAGTATCTTGGTGGAATTTTCGAAGTGTGAGGAGGTCCTTTTGCTGGAAAAATCTTGCAGATCCAATGGCCAAAGTCATGGTTGTGCTCGGAGATTCGGGAAGAATTTGCTGAACATAAAAGATATTTATTTATTTATGTATATATTATGTTATGTTATATTATACTATACTGTACTGTACTGTACTATACTATATTATACTATACTATACTATACTATACTATTTTATACTATACTATACTATACCATACCATACCATACCATACATATATATACATATATACATATATACATATATACATATATACATATATACATATATACATATATACATATATACATATATATTTATATTATATATTATGTATATTATGTATCTTATGTATATTATATATAGAGAGACAGAGATTATGTCTGGGACACAGTGCCTGAAATGGCTTCATACAAGTTCATTTCCAGCCCAATCTCAGCCTTTCTAGGATTTTCTATGTATAGCCGTGACCGAATATCTATGATTTCTATCGAAATATTACTGCTCAACCAACCTGGCGGTGGATCAATCACGGGAAGCTGTTTTTATCTACACCACGCACTTGCAGCTCTTGTGGGAAGATGTTTTTTTTCCTATACCAGAGAATCCCAAAGCAACAAGAGCCGCAACATGTGCTATATCAAATATAACACCAAAAAAGATAAGCAAGATAGAAAGGTAAAATATGGCAAAACAACTGCTAAACTAGTGGTAAAATCCATCTTTTCTGACTCTTTTTGGTGTCACTTTTCTATCCTGGTGTATGGTCCCTGTAGGACCATTTAGATGCGGATTCTGCCCCGGCCCAGGCCAGCCGTCATTTGCAAGTAACAGGTCTTGCAGTACCAGCAGAATGGATGATATCAGTGGGTGATCCCGTGTGATCCACAATCACAAGCAATCCACGGCGTTAATCCTGTTTTTTGTCCCCTCTTGCCAGGCATTCAGTCAAAAATAATTGTAACTCAACAAGATGCTTCATCACTTTCTTATGGTCTCATCCTTTGGTTGTGCTGCCGAAGGGATTTTTGTTGGTTTCTAAACCCCATTAACTACAGTTATATACAGTTATAAGCTGCCAACTTTATAGTTATACAGTTATATACAGTTATATACATTAACTACAGTTTTATTAACTATCATCAACATTCATCAACCATAGTTGCCATAGCTATTGGAGTGATCAACCAACTCAGCTATCGGACGTTTGGGGTGACCCGAGCCATCGAGCCATCGGTGACCCAGAAGCGGCACCCCTTCACGTCTTAGAGGCGGTAAGCTGGCGGCCCACTCGCTATGGGACCTCGGAACGTGGCATCAGCATCCAGCATCAACACCTTGCAGAAATGCCTGAAAATGGTGTGAAATATACGAACATCAAAGAAAAACACAAAAAAAAACGTTAATTATTATGTTATATACGCTATAATTGTACACTGTTATACTGATTTTATAGTTTTGACATCTTTTGAAATGTGCTTTTCATGACCGGGGTTCATCTTCAACATCCGAAGAAAGGGCACTCCCCCTGCTGTGCATCCGACCGCAAAGCATTGGCCATAAAGGCGAAGGTGCCTACCACGATGGGGATCTCAAGCAACCAGCAGGCTGGATATACCCTTCGTTCATGTTTAATGTGGCTGGGTTTCCAAAATGGCCTGAAAACTGAATTTCTGCTGGGAAAATCATCTGGGGATTTCCATTGCCATGATTGATTACCCAAAAGGATCCAAAAGGCTAGTGACTGTCACGGGAATTCGATAAGGATTGATTAAGGCTTTTTGTTTGGGGTAAATCTTAACCATGAACCACATTTATAAGGGCTATGTAATCTTAACCATCTATTTTTCGGCTAGATGTAGAAAAACATCGGTGGCAACATGCTGAGATCAATCTCTTCTCAATCTTTTTCGGGGTTACTAATTATATTACATATATATATATATTCCATAAATATAATTCAATAATATAATTCAATAATATAATTCAATAATATAATTCAATAATATTATACAATAGTATATATTCAATAATATTATACAATAGTATATATTCAATAATATTATACAATAGTATATATTCAATAATATTATACAATAGTATATATTCATAATATTATACAATAGTATATATTCAAGAATATTATACAATAGTATATATTCAATAATATTATACAATAGTATATATTCAATAATATTATACAATAGTATATATTCAATAATATTATACAATAGTATATATTCAATAATATTATACAATAGTATATATTCAATAATATTATACAATAGTATATATTCAATAATATTATACAATAGTATATATTCAAGAATATTATACAATAGTATATATTCAAGAATATTATACAATAGTATATATTCAATAATATTATACAATAGTATATATTCAATAATATTATACAATAGTATATATTCAATAATATTATACAATAGTATATATTCAATAATATTATACAATAGTATATATTCAATAATATTATACAATAGTATATATTCAATAATATTATACAATAGTATATATTCAAGAATATTATACAATAGTATATATTCAATAATATTATACAATAGTATATATTCAATAATATTATACAATAGTATATATTCAATAATATTATACAATAGTATATATTCAATAATATTATACAATAGTATAATATAGTATAGTCCAAAAAACATTCCAACATGTTTTCACCATCCAACCAGTGGGATTCAAGGACATAGAAATCCTGGCCTGGCTTTTTGCTGCCCATCCAGATATGGCGATGAATCAAAATGCAGGGACCAGTAGACCACTTAAACTTGCACTTTTTAGATCTTTTTAGTATAAAATACGGTATAAAACATGGTTTTTTCCAATCCATTGTGGCTTAAAAATAGATGGCTATTTTCCATCCAAAATGTTCCATCCCAACATAGTCCCTGGTGACTGTCAGCGGTGCTGACAGTCACCAGGGGTGCCTGCTGAAAAATCTGTGTCGACTGGTCGACCACCGACGGGAAAACACTGAGATCTTCTATCCTTTCGTCTTTGTTTTCTTTATGCTAAAAATGTCCCCTTCTTGCTCCAATATTCTCATCTGTTCTCCACATCTGTTGGAATTCTGAACCGCCGATCAGCGGCGCAAATCTCTTGGGTTCCGGCTAAATCCATGAGTTCCCACCTGCGACTCAGCCAGGCTACCCCGACAAAAGTAACTGATTTTGGACAATACATGATTGCGCCCAAATGCGCCCAACATGGTGATAATTCGGTCAGAGATTTTCTCCCTGGAAGATTCTATGTGCGTGTTCAATTTCCAGGATGAAGGAACATGTTGCACAAATCTTAAGGCAAACGACGTACTCCGCAAGTGTGATACCGTACCGTACTTTGAAACAAACCCATTTGGGTGTTTTCCGGAAACTTCCAGGTAAAAGGTCCTTACACTCTGTATACATATCGTTCTGCATGTATAGAGGCTCCCAAATAGAAAACGACAAGTTTGGAAACGACAAGTCATGGACGAGTTACATCGAACATGGAAAAGCTGTTCAGCATCCTTTTGGGACCAACGTTTGAAGCCACTTAGAAGTTCTCACGTTAACCATGCTGGTTTTTTTGGTCTCACGTTATCCCAGGGCTCATAACCACCAGATTTATTCATAATTAGGAAGGATGTACCAACTTTCATAGGAGTTTGTCTGAAAGCGAGGTACCCAAAACCCCAGTGGTTTATCAGAATTTTCCCTCAGGTCAATCGAATCCCCAATTCTCAAAAAAAAAAACATATAGTGTTGGTGAAATATCCCATGAACTATCATCATCATCATCATCATCATCATCATCTGTTTCCACATCTAAATCAAAATATGGGTCATGGCAACTCCACTGGGAATTTCTCACCAGGTCCGGGTTGTCGCACCACCAAGCGCACAAAGATGTCGGCTCGGGAGATCAGCAGCGCCTCGACATCAATTCGCTGCAGCTGCACCAAAGTTGGGGCAGAAAAGATGCTACGGTTCTTCACTCATTTTATGGGCTACATGATCTACATCTTTCTTCGATGATATGACAATTTGTTTGACCATATGATGTGGATTCTCCAAACATTCGAAAGTTACCCACCCTAATCTATAGCGTAATTTTAGCAATGAATAGGATCATAGAAATGGAATGCTCAGAAATCCAATCTGATCGGTGCCCAAAAGTGGGGGATGCTGGAGCAATCAGTGGATGGGTAGGTTTCAATTTTGGACAAACCCTAGTAATGTCCTGAAAAGGAAAAACGAGAGGCGGTTTTTTCGGCGGAGCTTGCATTTCCGCGAACATGATTCTAAATGATGGGAAACATGGTCCAAGATAACCATCTGGGACTCGATGTAAAAAAATTACATCTTCCGAAGAAGCCATCCATTTACAATGCCATTTTTTTTTGGATTCCATATATTCCATGTTCACATATTTGGATATGGGTAAATCATCCATATCGACAAATCCAGGAAAACCAACTGGACCAAGATTTCCAGCGAAACCATGACCTGGAGGCTATAGTCAATCTGACTGACTAAGTATTTGGAAGAGGAAGATCCAAAAAAAGTGGTCTGGGCAATTCACAAAGCACTGGACACCGTCCCTGAATCTGACTGAGCGTCCAAGTTGTTCCGCATGGATTTCCGCCGCAAACATCTCTCTGACAGTGAGGTGTTAAAACGAAATTCGACCACGCAAACAGGTGATGTTAAACTTCCCCAAATTAGTTGGTCTACCACTAAAATGATCATTGATGTCAACCCCAAAAAGTTGGTGAAACGAGTGGTTTCATATCCCCCGGACGAAACAACCCTGATCAATTGAAAAACATACAGTATCTAAAGAACGATGATATATGTGTATATGTGTATATATATACCATAATATGTATATATATATATATATTCTGTGTGAATATATTCTGAATACCCTCAGGTAAAACTTAACATAGCTATTGAAGCCATGGCCCATAAAAATCGTTTCCCCAACGCGCCTCGGCCATGGCGTCCACTGCGCCGGAGCCGGTGTGCCGATTGCGCTCCAGTTTCGGCAAGGACAAGATCCTGCGCAGGGGATCCTGCTGCGTTTCAACCGTTGGTTGTTTGTAGGATTTGTATATTTGGCAATAAAATATAATACAATACAATACAATGGAATAAATTATAATGTAATATAATGCAATAATATGATATATTGTACTTCAGTATACTTTGTAATATTTATGTCTTCCGGCTGTATGTATGAAATTGAATATGCAATTACAGTTGTTTCGTTTTAGTTTGAACATTTTTGGAAGAAATTAATTAGGAACGTGAGTGGGTGAAAATGGGTGAAAAATCCAGTTATGGTGCTGAGTACTGGGTTCCGTGTATAAATATATATATATACACATTACATAAACACTGCATTTGTAACCATCCAGTTAAGCTTTATGCCAAAAGTGTATAGTATTTGGTTTCTGCACATATAGTTCGCTGTGTATATGTGTAATTATCCAATCACACCCATATATAACGGAGTGTATATCTACACAGGTATTGTGGGAATGTAGTTTTTTATAACTTGGCATAGGGACAGGTTTAAACCAAGTGTTGCAATCTAGAAATGGATAGCTGTAACATGCTGTAACTATGACCTGGCCACCTGGAAGATCCACAAAAGTTGGGATCCATGTAGAGATTTGGTGACTGAAAACCTATACAGATAGTGCCTAAACAACCACATATATGGATAAAACCATTCGAAACCAGCCAACAAGTGTCCGCAACTAGCGGAAGAATTGGGAGATTTCCTGGGATGGAAGCTACTAGAACTGCGATAGTGGGGCGAAAGTGCGTGTCATCCGCTGATTCAAATGCAGAGTGTTGGCTAATTGTTGATGATGTCAACCCGTCTTTGTTACTAAGAATGCTGCTGGTGTCCAGTATCTTCTATTCTACCCAAAAAAGTGTTTATCAATATAATAAATTGAACTACACATGGCTGTCCGAATGTCTCTGCATTCCTGTGTTTAGACATTCTACAACGAAAAAACTGTTGGTCATCATCATCACTTATTTGTGCTACAGTTTATATGGATGGTTTTATACATCGGGTCTGTCGCAAAATCCGCAACATCATCAATGTATACTCCAGATACACAACAAGAAATCAATCAATCAATCAACCAACCAACCAACCAACCAGCCAACCAATCAATCAACCAACCAACCAATCAATCAATCAATCAATCAATCCTGATCAACATTGCCGTATACCTGGTATCCCCCATTTTTTGGCCCAAAGCAATCACCAAAAATTGGTGATTCCCGGAATTGGTGACAAATCGCGTCTCTATCTTTTTGGGGTTTACTATGTTTTTTTCTTTAAAAGATGTTAGAAACACATGGTTTCCAGTTTCCAGTTAAGATGTTCCCCAAAACCAATCTATGGTCGCAACAAACTCCCAGAGTCGCCTGCGCAACTTAGGGCTCAGCTTGAAATGTTCCGAGGCCACTTTCCGCGCCTGCGGAATGCGCGGAACGCTGATGGATGGGACCTATTCTTGAGGGCTGCGACCCGTAGGGCTACTCAAATTTGAAAACATGCAAAATGCCAACAACACATGATGTTTGTTCGGTGAAAAAAGCACTGTATTTTGCAGCATGATTTTTGATATGTGGTCATTTTGTTTTAAGGTTCGAAATGCTAAATATGCTGTACTAGCCGTGTTTTTGAAGGAAGGTATGCACAAAGCACCGACAATACCATTGTTTTTCAAAAGGCAAGCACAACAATATATTGTAAAAGGTTCAGTTCTGCTATTTGAAGCTCGGATTCGATGGTACGACGTGGTTTGTCATGTCTTGAAAAAAGCAAGATGACAATATCCCGTCGGGTGGAAAACCGCGCCAGCGGTTGTGAGCGTTAAATAAAAATGTCATTTTCGCCATAGCGAAACTATTGATTCATTCCTTAAAATAGGCTTTAAATTCCACGGGAATTTGAAGAGCATTTTTGGTGATGTCCTGTATTTTACAGGGAATTTGCTCTTGAAAACGCGCGCGATGTTTTCCTCCTCTCACATCGCCATGGGCTTCTTCAAAGAGCGACCATTGACCTCCAAAAGGTTTTTTGATTTGGAGTTCACCCAACGCCATTGCCGCACCCTGATGTTCCGCATCAGTTTTGGGTTCACATGGCTGTTGACTCTGGTCGCAAGACTATATGGTATGGCTGATTTTTATGAAACATAACACTCTGATTGTATGAAAAGCAAATCACAACATGAAGCTTAGTGTCGACAGGTTACAAGGTCTTGTTCCAGTTCTACATCTGTATCAACATCTGTGCGAATCCTACAATTATGATGCCAGCAAGGGGAACCCAGACGTGACGTAGCATGTGCATGTGACGCAAGTTAACATGAACGTTAACACACCCCACCCACCCAACCCAAGACGTGACGTAGCATGTGCATGTGGCGCAAGTTAACATGAACGTTAACACACCCCACCCCACCCAACCCAAGACGTGACGTAGCATGTGCATGTGACGCAAGTTAACATGAACGTTAACACACCCCACCCACCCAACCCAAGACGTGACGTAGCATGTGCATGTGACGCAAGTTAACCTGAACGTTGACACACCCCACCCCACCCAACACAAGACGTGACGTAGCATGTGCATGTGACGCAAGTTAACATGAAGGTTAACACACCCCACCCCCCTGTCCCAGTAACATATGCGTGCTTTCAAAAATGTGCACGACTACTGGCGCGGTTTTCCCCCTGCTGGCATAAATATGCATATATATATATATAGTACCACCAAAAGATGCACTGGGGGGTTGGGGGTTCCAATTCTGTGGGGACAAATCTGGTTTTTCGGGTCCCAGGCCTCTACAGAATGAGGAACCTGCCACAAATCTAGCAAGGTGTTTTCTCTACAAAATCAGGGCGCCCAACCCCCTTCTCTTTTTTGGGAACACTTTTAGGATTTTCAGAACCAATGGCCTCTAACAAGTGGGGAACCTGGCATGAGCACACATTTAAGCAGAATGGCTACTTGGAACAAAGAAAGCCCTCAAACTACAAAGGTCCATTTTGTAGAGGGGTGATGTGAAAGAAGAAAGAACCTTGGTCTTCCCTGAAAACCCTGAAATTTACAAAAATCCATTTTGTAGATGCAATTCCTGTTCTTCATTTCCAATTTTTGTAAAGTCAATATAATTTGCATATATTTTTGCACATGAATATTGACAAACCCCAAAACCTCTACACAATTAGGAACCTACAGTTTCAGCCATCTACAACATGCATCAAAATGCTCCCGCTACAAAATCAGGAATCTGTCATTGCACATCCTTGTAGGCACTTAGGCTGTCCAAAAAGATTGTTTTGACGGACCCCCAGGGATCCTGATTTTGGTAAAGATTTTTTTGGGGGTATTATATACATGTATATATATATGTATATACATATATGATCAATATCTTTAGGGCCCTTCTGAAGGTAAACCATGTGGCAAAGCATGTGGTGTTTGCAGTGCTTTTGGATGTGACAACAGTTAAGCAATGTTTGAACAATCTTGGCCATGCCGCCATGCCTCATCACCCCGGCATCTCCCACGTTTTTCGGAGTCTGGGGCGCACCTTTTCCGTGGTGCTGGCCAGGTACACATCCCACGCCTCCACATCTCCAAACTCCATGTGGACAGCCTGACACTGGAGATACTGCAGCCCATCTACCCTGAAACTTAAAGGAACCACTATAGGTCACTAGGCATCCTGTTCTCAATCAGCTTGGGACTTATTGGGACCTAGGATTTCTGGTAGGCATATGTTTCTAGTTTCTGGGGGTTATAAGCCAGCTTACAGCTCGGGACCACCTTATAAGACAAATGAATCAAATCACCAATTGCTGCAAACCACATCTTCCCTGATGGAAAGCAGGTTCTTGGATCAATGAACATGGGAGTAAATCCAGCAGCCAAGTGCCTCTCACACATGGCTATAGCGGCTACTGCTTAAAAGCTTTGCACCAAAATAAACCCCAAATTTGGCCGATGTGAGGTATCTAGATCTATGAGGGTCGCCAGAGCAGGGACCACTTTTCTGAAACCCAAACTCTGCATCGACGATGGAAGTTATGACATTTCTGAGGATCCGCTGCCTACCGGCAACCAAAAGTCTAAACGTAAAGAACACCACCTTGAATGGTTGTTGGAAAACCATTAATGCTTCCTTTATCCTTCAAAGTGTGCAAATATCTCTACAATCAGCCCTGGGTTGTTGGGTGTGGGTATATCAAAATATATCAAAATTGATTCTGGACAGAAGTGAAAACATCTTCGACGGGATACATTGGGTCTCTCTGTGTCTCATGTCTCATGGAACCCCACTGGATCGCATTCCATCCACCACGCAGGAAGATGGCCTGCTCGATACACTTTGTCAAGCTGGCAAGCATCTCCTGGTCGCACACCCTGTCATCCAGAACTGATCCTGGTTGGTTAAGAGGAGCCATTAATAACTTATGTCTCAGGTATGTCTCAGTTATATCTCAGTTACAAGCAGTTGTTACATGTTATAACATTCTCAGGGAGGCAGTTGTGCTCTCTGGGACTTTTCGACACATATACATTCTGCCCCGAAAATTACCGGTGTTTCATGGTGTTTCTTTGTGTTTCATGGTTGTCTTGGGGTTGTCTGGTTCCAAGCGATTTAGTGTATTGTATATTAGCACCACTCATATATGGAACATCCAATCAGTACTGGGATGATACTACTCAATGTATGGTTAGAATTTGAATTCATTTTATCCATCAAAATCCTACATGCAGTTGCAATACGATCACTAAGCACATGGCAAGTAGTCATGTGTGGATCTTTCATAAATCGGCACATATCAAAAACAATTCGTTATGCTTGTCCAATACAAGACGTCGCAAAAATCTCAGCCTGGGTTGGGTGCCAACCACAAAAAATCGCCTCATTTCATCCCAATGTCCTGGTAAATAGGTCAGATTAACCATGTCGCATAACCAGCAATATTTGCCAACCAAAAAGCGTATGTTCAATAGTTGTTGATTGCTAGGCTGCAAACTTCTACTTCGCCGAGCTCAGTCCCAGATGTTTGAAAATGTCCCTCCCTTGGTCAGAAATGCATCACTGAGGTCAACAGGGCAAATTGAAGAAAACACTGTTCGCCAATCTGTACCTGAAATAGATGCAACGGCTATTTCAACACTATTTTGATTATAGTCATCATCATCATCATCATCATCATAAGCTATGATAAACGATGATAAACAATGATAAACATTGACATAAAAGCCCCAAAGAAATGGTAAAGTAGGTTATCACAGTAGCCAACGCTGGGCCAACGCTCGGTTCGCTCGCTTCGCTCGGTTCCTCATCCGGTGCGTCGGCCACCGGCCAATCATCATTGTCCTGAACCCGACCATGGTTGGTTTGTGACTCAGTTCTATACACATATAACAGAAATGATTCATATATAACATACATCTATATATATATATATATGTATTTACTTGTTTATCTATATATTTAATTATTTATTCGTATATTGATTGATTTATCTATTTAATATATGTATAATATCTATCGTATATAATATATGCATGAATCATCATGAAGTGACAGAACTCGTATGCTGGCAAATAGTGGTACCAGGCACTTTCAAATGGCGAACATCATCGTATATCATGTGGATAATTATCAAATTATGCACGGCAGCCAGACTTAGATCCTCGGTAACGCTGTTGCTTGGTTGCGAGCAAACACCCCAGATAGGGGGAAACTGGGTAGATATAAAGGTTTGTCAAGACCATTCCATAAACAATTGCTATCATTTGCCGAAAAATGAGCAACCCTGCTGGAATTGCCGAAAACATATATCATGTACTATCATGTATTATCAGGTTTTCCATGGATTTTTCCATCCTTCTCTCCCGGAGACGGGTGGATTTTCCACCTCTTTTTGGCGCCTCTCCAACCTCTCGTGTTCGAAGGTGGACGGCGACGATGGGTGCGGAACCCCAAGATGTCCTCGGTGCGACGGAGTCCATCAACTTTTAATGGGGATACAACTGCTAAATGGATTGGTTTAAGGAAAAATTTACAGGAAAGCCCCATATTTTATGGGAAAATCTATGGTTTCCGGTTAAGATGTTCCCAACAAAACCAATCCAATGAAACTGCTAAATGGTGATATAAACTAGGATATTTCATGGGATACAAATGGTGATATAACCAACCAAGCCACTTAAATATGAAAAAATATTATGTAACAGGATATTGATGGGGATAAACGGAATGTTTTGAATGGTTAAGTTGGATATAAATTTGGGAGATAGCCAACCAGCCAACTTAATATAACATGATATAACAAAATCATTTATACAATGATAGGGATTAATGTGATGTAACATGTAACATGATACAGCATGATATAACCATATATGACCATCATAAGAGAACTGTTTGCTAGCTGCGTTGGTTTAGAATGTTTAGTGCATTTGGCGAACTGTTGGGTTTATGGGGGATATAACTATGGTATTCATGAGATTTAGACATCAACTTATTCTTCCTGGGGGGGCACCTTGTATATGTATAATATTATATATACAGCCTTGATATCAAAGTTGGAGTTTCTATCCCTTTGGTGCTTTCAAAGGGCCCACCATAAAACCTGCATTCGCAGATCATTCAATCTACATTTCCTGCTGGATACACCAAGTCGGCGTAACGTGTTGTTCGTCACCGCTCAGCAATGCCCGTCGGGGATGCCGCAAAAATGTGAATGATCTGAATGTGACATGTCCAGAATTAACATCCCATTGGGTCGCGATACCTTAGGCAAACACAATTATGTGAGACTAGGAAGCTGTTCATTTAGGGATTGGTCTGACTTACCACCCAGAATTGGATGGTTTAAGATACTAAGAACGTGTGGTCCCGTGTCGGCTGCTTCCAGAGTTTTATCCTGTATGCAGCTGTGATGGCTCGCAGTCCGGCTTCAGAAATTCGCCCCAATCAAGTGGTGATGACATGTTCTTTGAGATACCATGAGATACCGGGATCTCTGAACATGCCCAAATCCAACGGTCAATGTATTCCAAACAGGCAGCCGTCGCATCCGGCGAACACATATATGTTATACGGTTAGAAGAAAATCCGATGGTTTGAAACAATTTAAACATATTTAGACAATTTTAGACAGCTTTTTTTTCACATTGAAATGGCTGTGGAATTAGTGTATCCCTTCTTTTTGGGGACAAACATATAAGACTACATAAGATCTCCCATTCCTGACGGTATTTCATCCTTAAATTCATGGGTCGCTGGCTGGTGGTTGTGCAATAATCATCTTAAAAAATATGAGTTCGACAATGGGAAGGATGACATCCCTTTTTTATGAAATGGAAAATAATCCATTCATGTTTGAAACCACCAACCAGTAGTTATTTTGATATCACTTGTCCCATCATTATCCCATTATCATCCCTATAAAACCATATTAAACCATAGTAAACCCATCAAAAACCGACTTCCAAACCCAGCGTTGCTTTGATCGCAGCCACTTGTTGGCATAGCTCAGGGCCCTCTTCTTCGCTTTGACGCTGGGCGTCATGAGCCGACCCAACCCCTGCCGCGATACCGCGGGCGTCTGGTGGCTTCACCCCCCAAAAAAAAATTAGATCTGTGTGAAAGTTGGGCATCATCCCATTTTTATGCTTGAAAAACACAAAATATGGTTTTCCCTATATATATATATATAAAGATATACACATATATGTAAATATATTTGAAACCACATTGTTACACAATGGCGGATTCTGGCAGATGTTCATCCTCTTTGAGCATGATGAAAAAACTGGGAAGAATGGAGTATGGATGGATATGGGTATGAGTCACAACACCCATTACCTGGTCAATCCAAACAAAACTCGTTGCGAGGCCTTAGTTTCCCAACGATGGAAAATCATAAGTGCATGATATTGACCCTGATTCATATTGACCCACGTTGATCTTTGGACTGTGAAATCCCTCCCCTGTGTAAGCTGCGTAAGGGTGCAAGATCATTCCGATCATTCCCATCCCGCACCTCGTGAAAGGACAGGACTTGTCCAGGTTTCCTCGCAAATGCAGGCTGCACCGATATGTACATATCATTATCTATACATATTCTATACATATTACCAGTGTAATTGTACAGAACCTAAATGAGTTTTCTGCAGTGGAACTTGGCTTTTCAAGCTGGGATTGAAGGTTTTTGACAGTGTGTATCCCACAAAAAAAACATCTCTCTGAGGAAAAACCCTCGATGCCTATCCAAGCAGAAACAGCCCAGATGGCTGGAAAATCTGCAGCCGAAGCGACAAATGTGGATTTGTTTGGAGCAGGGGAGTGAAGTACCTGGTGATTCAGCGCCGAAGTAATCCAGTGTTGTCCAGTTTTATCCAATGTTAAATGGACAGAAGTTGTGGGAGGTGAGTAGATTGGTAGTAATATGATTGTTCATTATTTTTAGTTGTTATGGAATAATGTTCCCATATTTATATATATATTATGGTCTGGTTACTGCAATTGGATTGCAATAAATTGTGATCATCTTTGCCAAGACCAACATGGCCTGTTGGAACAAAGCTTTCCCTATGGAACTGTGGTGGCTGAGCCGGTAGCTGATAGCTTGTTAGCCGCGTAAGAAAGGGGGCCCAACACATCAAGAAACATCTAATAGATAATCTAAATCTATCATAATCTATCTATCTAAATCTAAATCTATCTAGCTCTCACATGTTTCAGAACACCCCAACATCATCATCCTTCTAATTTCGAGTTTGGATATCTGTCAATTCCTGCTGTCAACAAAGAGGCCCCCAAAGCCTCCCACTGGTGATGTCGCTCAGCACGGTTGTCACGGTCTTTGCGCATGTACAGTATGTGATGTGTATATGTAGTTATGTATATTTGCCGTCTATATGCATGTATATATATATATATGTATAGTGAAGTGACCGAAACGGGTCCGGAATTGATTTGGGAATGATATTTTTCCCGTTTCGAGATTTTGGGGGGCCTTCTGAGAATGTGATTTAGCTACATTTCTGAATGCCTTGCAGCTGAAGATCTTCGCAAACTTATGTAATTCTTCCGCCTGTTTCCCTCCGCGGCACAAGTTGGACGAGATAGAGACGATCCTTGGGAGTCAATATGGTTCCTGGATAAATGTGGCTTTAACATGTTTTAATCCTCCCAAACAATACTAATCATTGGGTACTATTTAAAACTAGCAACATGACTCGTCAGTGGCAGCGGGTCAAAAATTAAAGACATTGAGACCCACACAAATTGGTCATCCGTAGTATTTTGGCATCCGGTTCCGGGCTACCCTATTTTGGAGTGATTCTGACCGGTAGCCATTGAAGAGATGCAAATACTAGGGTCCATTTCGAGCTGGTCAACCACTAGGTTCCCCTCAGTAGCTTGCGAGACTCCATAAGATTCTGCAGCGATTTTAATACCCTCTGGTAATCAAGCATGGCTTGCTGGAACCTCCTTCATTTAGTTCGATGTGTTTCCCCAATTTAAACTCATGTTCGGTGGTGATTTCCCACCCATCTTTGTTCATGAAGGTAGGTCCAACAGTCCAACAGAGAGCTGAAACTTGGTCCCCAAGAACCGTGACAAATATATGGCTATCTGGTTGTCAATCTGTGAACAGCGAAAGAGTGAATCAACAGTTTGTCGGACATATCACATACCCTCTGGTAAACTAACGTAACTATGGAAAATCACCATTTTTAATGGGTAAATCCACTATAAATGGACATTTTTAATAGCTATGTCAAATTACCAGAGGGTATCCTATTCCCTCGATATCCACATGATATTGATTCCATCCTTGGGCAAACCTCCGGTGAAAATCATACAAAAACCTTGCTTTCCAAATAGGTTTTTTTTCCCCGTTGAAGACCCAGTGACAGTGACCCCTCATGACCCCTCCAATGTTTGGGTGTGGCTTTGTGTGGTGAATCTTAAGCACCGATTTTCCTGAAGGGCAAGGGTGGGCAATTTTCTCGCCAATGACCATTTGGGTGAGGGTGAAAATGCTAGAAACTGCTAGAAACTGCTCGAAGCTGGAACAGAATGATGTGCCATTGTTAAATCATGTTAATCTGAATCTTATTTAAGAATATATATATATATATATATACATATATATTATATACATATGTGTATATATATATATATATATACATTATAATGCGTAAAATTCAACTCCCACATTTTGGCAAATTCAACATAAACCGCACCGGAAACCGGTCGAAGTTAATTGTCGAGTGTCCGGTGCTGGTTCAGGGAGGTGGACAGATCTGAGCAACCTGAAACCACAAAGCATCTGTGGATTTTTGGATCTGTGTATATATAGAGATGCGTTTCTTCATCACGCTTTTGGGTATGATGGTATGTATATATATATTATCATATATCTTAATGAACAGTTCCATTATACAACATTGACCACACATTTATAGTACAACTGTTGCAAAACTATGGTACTGAATTTCTCCCGAAGCCGATTGGCATGAGGTTGGTGAAGTGGCTGCCCCTTGGCTCAACTTCCCATTTGATGCGCGGGTCCTTTTAATGCAGCGAATGAATGTGTATACATACACTAATGTAGTATATGTATATAGAAAGCATATCAAATCATTATATAATACTATATGTGTATATATATGTGTATATATATATATACATATTCGAATGTAATGCAACTATATGGACATATAGTTTTTTTGAAGCTGGAAATAGTGTTGTATTCTCTTACACAATCTTACATATAGTTTAACCGCATTGAAAGACACTCTTGTTAGACATGTTTGTTTACATATCAAACAGATCCACAAGTCAGATCTGCTCAGCAACTTGTATGAGGATGAAACCAAGCATGCTCGTGCATACACGAAAAGTTGTTTAGATCATTTAGATCTCATTAGCATTAGCAGTTTAGGTCGGGCGGGCAGTTTCTCTTCGCATCAGATGCATTGCACATGGCCGCCATGGCCCATTAGTTCATGGCTTCACCTACCGGACCTACCATTCACCTTGCACTGGCAACGGTGGTTCCCAAAAAAAAATATCCCATTTCTTGTTGGTTGGAAGAAAAAAACTCTTTGAGACCAACCAAATCATCATTGGTTATATATTGCGCACGGATTCGCGAGTCCAAAAGCCAGCTATTCGCAGGCTTGTAGGGCCTAATGTGAAAACCTATTGGTAATAGGGTTTAGAAAACCCCTGGGCACAGGTGATAGGTCGGGTACCAACAAATTTAATTAGAAGCTGCACCGCTCTGACACTGAGATCGTGACAAAGGCCAAACTGTACCGACAGCTGAGGAACCAAAACTCCAGCCGCAACCAAATGTTGGCTGGACACCTGACCTGAAACACCTGCCTTCGAGAAAATGTTAGTGATCATTTTCTTGAAAATTCTGAAATCAGCAGCAAAAGTGGGAACCACATACCGATTGAAAGCATTCAAACCACCAACAGGGCCACCAAGAAACTCGCGGTACAACACATATATTTCAAGAAAACTCACTAACCTCATGTGAGATGCAGACTGGTCTTGGTCAATCAACCAATTGAGCAGCTGTTGACTGACCGTCACAAAATGGTGATCAAATTGATCTTCCAACCAAATTTCGCTGTCCCGCAAGGCCAAAAGCGGCAAATGAAAAGTAGCCGTATTGGGAACAACATCTATACATGACAAAATCGGTGAAACTTCCTCCTCCCAGCTGTCTTCAGAAACATCCGTGCTGGGCTTTGCACAGTCAAATGCGGCAATGTCAATATGAAAAGCAGTAATCAAAGCAACCCTACGCCTCCAAACACTGCGTTAATCAACATACTTTTGCCACACTTGTTGGAAGAAACGCGGTCTACTGTTGTTTGCCAATTTGGCCTGAAAGTCGGCAAGATCATTCCATTTTTTGGTAAAATCATCCAGAGGCCCAGTGCTATCCTGCACATCCACATGACTTGCCACTTTGTGGACATGGATGTTGGCCATCGAAAAATGCACCAAAGTTGCAATCTGCCGCCACAGATCTGAATGTTCAAATTTTTCCGGGTCACCTGTGCCAAGCAACAACTCACGCAAATGATCAACAGCATTCTGATTATCAACCCAAAGATGCAAGTCACCCGTGTACTTAGCTACCCAAGCTACAGCACTCAGGATGGCAGTCACTTCAGCTCTCATGATACACTGTTGAATACCTCTCAAAGGTCCAGCACTGATCGGTCCCACATCGGCCAGAATCACAGACCAAGAAGCCAGAGCATCATCAGGTGAAAGAGGATTGTCGCAACTGCCATCAGTAAACAGATGCCACACCTTTCCTTTGGGCATGCACTGATACTGCTGCGTCAAGTCAGGGAGAGCAGAAAGCGCCTCCCACACAAGGTTTTCCCATGGATTGCGAGGCACAAGGCCTCCGATCTTGAAACAGGTTGGGAACTCATCCCACTCGGCAAAGAGTTTAGCATGGTGTGATCTGATCGCATCATACCGGGAACACACGGTGTATCGATGCATCCGTGTGTCAGGCACCTTGCACCAGTCGCACATTGCTGTCTTTCGAGAGTCAAACTTACACTGGGCACTGTTTGTAAAGAAAGCACCATCACGCACGATCATGAGCTGCTCAACCTCAGCTGGCTGGAAACGCCCGTCAAAGGCTGTTGTAAGACCTAAGTCAAAGCCCTCCAAATCTTCATAGCCAGCACGACACTGCACCTGACTAGCGACATGGTTTTGAAAGTGGCTCAAAAGCACCTTCTGCAACAAAGTCTCAGAAACCTGAAAAACCTGCACAAACGCATTGTTTGAAAACCAGAGTCTGCCATCCGCATCGATATGGAGACCCAAGGTATTGAGTTCACTTTGGACCTTGCCAAATGGTCCATTGGTGTCTGCTCCTGCAAGCTGGTCACAGTAAATACCCCACCAAGCCCTCAGAGTGGGGTTTTTGGAACACTGCTGTTTGAAAAGTTTGAGCACCCTCCAAGTTTGTTGCCAAAAAGGATCCAAGTCATAGTGCAGCAAGCCCAAACGAATGTGAGGCGAAGCACCAGGTCTGTCCCATCGCAAGGCCTTCATGGCACCAGATCTGAGTTTTGCAAGATGTGTAGAACCCAAGGCGACGGCTTCAATGCCATGGAGAGCCCGAGGCCACAAAACTTGCTTGATATTGAGCATCTTGGCTTTCACCGGCAAAGGCGCAGTGCGCAGTTTTCCAAAGTACGGTTGGACACTGGCGATCCGATCCGTGAGGATTTTGTTTCGCAACTGCTTTGAGTATATGACTTGACCTCCAAGGTCTCTGTCCCCAAGGCTGATGTGAAACCCCCTTGATTTGAGTTCACGACGCCCAGCATAGGTAGAAGCCCAAGCATAAAGACGAGGGTGGTCGATTTCCAAGTCCAAAAGGGAACAAAACTGGTTTTGAGCTTCGGCCGCACACACCAGATCATCAACACGGTCACAAACCAACTCAAGGTTATCAACAAAGCTAACAGGGAGCAAACGAGGAACCCGGGAACGCATGGCCCAGTGCCAAAAGAAGTCCAAGGCAGTCATTGCAGCGCAGGCTAAAGGGCACCCTTCAGGGAACCCAGTCACTGACAACAGGGGTTCGCTGACACACCGATTGACAACGAAAAACCTCTCAAAGACGGACAAGTGTGCTTGCCATGTTTTGAGAAACCACTGTGGAACTCCAAGAACTTCAAGGCACTTGAAAGTAGGTCGCCTAGGAAGTGTGTTGTAGGCCTCGACAAGATCGGCCACAATTCCATGGACAGGGGTAGACTGGTGAGTGGAGAGCTCCAAGCAAACCCCTATGAAGAACCACACATCCGATGCCTGACGACCCTGCATGAAACCACATTGCATCTCATCCGCAGCTTTGGCCAGCTGAGACAAAATCTGACCCGCACGAATGCCAGCAAAAAGTCGATAAAAGATGCTGGTGACAGTGATAGGACGGTACCCATCAACTGAGACACTGGAGTCTTTCTTTTGCAAGCAGTGTATAAGCCCAATGCACCATTGACGAGGCCAGGCATGTCCAGCTTCAATCATATGATATCCATCAAGGATCTGTTGGATTTGGCCATCAGTAAGGTGCGCCAAATCCGCTCTAGTCCAGCCACAAGGGCCGGTGGCCGCTCTGGGTTTAAAGGAATGCACGGCACGTTTGAAGTCTTGGACAGTGATAGGAGGAAGCTCTATCTGGCCAGCTGGCAAAGTGTCAACAGCGTAGCGACAAACGTCGTCCCAGGTGGCTTCGGGAACTTCCGCATGGCGATTCCAACGTGGAGACCAAAGCTGATGAAGTCGATCATGAATCTCTTCAGGAGATGTGGTCATGGTATGACAAGAAAGGGACTGACCCGAGGCAAGGACAAGATCCGATTCAACTTGATAAACATCATCAACAACTCTGACCCGAGCTGGAAGGCCCTGCAAAGTCCACGTGGCCGTGTCAGTGACATGGTAAGGCTCGGGAGCACGAACCAAATTGTGCCTAGTGTCAACAACATCAATGGGTTGGGATTGGGTATCGACCAAACAGTCCAAAGGGGCTTTAGCAGGCTTGCGGGTACAAGCATACAGTGCCTGTGAGGTGGCAATCATTTTGTTTCTGCAGCTTTCCCGACGACGCTGCAGTTGCCAATGCTCATAACGCCTGTAGTTTTGAACAAAGTCATCAAAGACCAGTTGTGCAACGCTCTGACCGGGAGGAACGACAGGCAGGGTGCGAGGAGCACCTTGGTCTTGATAAGGCCGATGTGACCACCAAACAGGGAAACCACCACAAAAACCAGAAGCACGCCTGACAGAATTCCACAAGGCAGCCCTAGAGAAATAAGTGTCCCCAACCCGGGATGATTTGACAGCATGACAGTAAGATTGCAACCTACGCATCTGTTTAAACCAAGCCGCAACCGAACGGTTCAGGAACCCCGAAGCAGGCGCAAGTTCTCCTGGGCGCGGAGGCTTAATGACCGGTGCATGGGTTCTTCTGGGTTTAGGCCTAGTAATCGACCCTCGGCCAAAGAAGCTTCTGTCATGACGACCGACCGAAGTGGCCACACATTTGGAAACCTGCTCTTCAAATGACGCACTCCATCGCCGAAAGTCCAAGGTAGCAGAGTGCTGTGATCCAGGGATCTCACCCGACGGAACAGTAGCCAATCCGGCACGCACCACATGTGACGGGTTTGACTGAAAAAGAGGACCCCAGTCAGGAGAAGAAATCCACTGATCTTGATGCACCTTTTCCCACGGAATATGGCCAGGGAGACGCCACTGAGGTTCCACAACACGGACAGGTGGGAAAAACAACCCCGCAATGAGAACCTGATGGTCAGGAAAGATATTCCAAAAAGCAACATTTTGAACCAAGGGAACAACCTCAGGAGAAAGCCAAATCTGGTCAGGTGAAGTGGCACTTTTGCATGTAGCCCGCTTTGGAATGCCATACTTCTGGAACATCAGATCCTGCAGTTCTATCCATCCACAGGATTGCCAAAGTTGCATTTGACGCAAGGAGCCAGCAGGGCAATTCATATCGCCAAGGATAACCCGGTACCCAGAACGTCCCAAAACAAGTTCCTCAGTGATTGGGGTGAGCAAAGATTCACTGAGTTCCACTGCTCGAGGATAGGTTGGTCCCTTGGGGGGAAGATACACCGTGGCACTCACCAGTTCAAATCCATGAACATGTGCGGCCGTCAAAAGCACCCGCCCACTGTCATATTCGCCGGCAGGCCAAAGACCAGGAACTTGTCTCATGGCACAATCACCGAAGTTCAGAACCCCAGTCCATGACCCAGCCTGTTGTGAGCCAGGCCGCAAGGCCGCTGGTGCTCCCAAAGTGCTTCTGATGTTCCTGTGTGAGCGGCAGGAAAGGGAACGGAGATAGCTCTGGAGAGCACACTGCTGATATTTGGAGGCCTGGGTTTCAGCCGCATGCCACCAACCGACAGGGAAATAGTCCAACATATGGAACTTGTTAGAAATTCCAGAAGGATTGAACGTGCCAAGACAAAACGCAGGAGTCCCCGGCAAAGTCCACTCAGGGGAATCAACAAAAGAGTCAACGCCCTCAGGCGGGCCAGGCACCGCAGCTTCACCAATCCGACAAAAGTGCGCACAGAAGAAAATCAAAAAAGTCCAAAGACGAAAAATCCAATTTGAAGGCCTCAACCGGGTGCAGGGCGCCCTCCCAAATCCAAGCGAGGGCCCCTTGAGACCTAGTCACGAGTGACGTGCCTTCTTTGCAAGCATGGCCTCGATGGCTTCCTGCTGCTTGGTGAAGTACGAGTCAAGATGCTTGCCCAAATCGGTCTTAAGTCCAGAGACCTCGGTTGAAACGTTCTGCAAGCTGCTGGTGCATTGGCTCACTTCATGGGCGACCTGCTGCAAAGTCTGACCTTGAGAAAGGACTGTCATTTGAAGCTGTCCACATTCCTGCTGCAAGCCATGAATCTTTGAGCTGCCGTCTTGAACCCAATGCTCAAGCTTCGTCTGGTTTTCAACCAAGCTTTGAATCTGGCTTTCGACTGCGGTAAGACGAAGGTCAGTGGCTGGATGCTGCGGAAGTTGGTGAACTTCCTGGGTAACCGTTTGCTTGACATGCTCATGAAGTCGTGATTCAACATCCTCCAACCTACTTTGGACATGCTGTGTCGGAACAGCGGCAGCTTTTGTGGTCTTGGCATAGCCTCCCCATGGGTCTGGGCCAGTTTGCCAAGGATCTGCAGTGCCTGAGGAGGAACTGGCTGACGCCTCCTGAATGTGCTTCTTTGTTCGCATGGTGGCAATCAGGCCTTGTGGTTTGGCAACTGGAGTTGCATCCTTGACCTTTGAAATTCCTATCCAACCCTGCTGGGACTCAATAAAGGGCTTTGGGGGCTCTGATTCCGCCCCAACCTGCCATGCTTGACCCTGGCTGCCTTTGCATGGTTGCAAAGGCTTCGCATTCCAGCCAAAACTGCGAAGGATCTCCACCAAGGATGTTCGCTGTGTACCTGCAGGAAGAGGCTCAAGACGATACACTGCTTTGACAGACACATGGACAAAAGGCCGGGACGGGCACAAGGTCTTGTGCAGCTCTTCTTGGTGTTTGACCAAACAACGAATGCCATACTTAAGTCCAAGCCGGCAGACAGCAACACAATGATCCAAGGTGCGCACTCGGTGCTGCGCATCACTCAATCCAATTTGTGGAACCCAAATGACCGCAAAAGCATCGTCCGGGCCAGGTGAGTCAGAGCTGCGGGGTTCAAAAAAGACACCTTGTGTACCTGAGGATCGATGGACCTGGTCAAAACTGGACTCTGGAACCCTGACATAAACCGAAAGAACTTCAGCCTGTGCTTGAGGCTGCTTTGACCCGTCAAGACCATGCCAACGAAAAGCCCACACATCAACAAGTCCACTCTCTACTCCTTCCTCTTCAAGAGACGGATGAAATAGGGAGCAGTGATGATCACAGTCAGCATCTTTGCAAAGTCGAAAAATGGGAAAAGCCTGAACCAACGACCGAACTGGGTGACCAAGGAACTCATCCCAGTCATGTTCCTGCTGCCAAAGGTCCTTGAAGACATGGACACGGAAGACACGAGTTGGACAAACAGTCAAAGACGGGGCATCTTGACTAGTCTTGCGATAAACAGCCTGGTCACCTAGCTGAATGGAAGTGCAATCCAAAATCACTGGTTCATTGGTTCCCTTGTAAATGGCTGGAACCCGCAAAGAATGCATAGGCAATGACAGGGGAGTGTGCTCAGGCATCTGTCCCACAACAAGCAGAGCGAGGCCCTCTTGGCTGATCATTTTTCCATCGGCAAGAAAATGCTGCACCGCATCAGGAGATGCAAAGGCGATACCTCGAGCGTCTTTCTGAACCTCATCAAGCTGAAGTTGTGGGAGAACAGAACCACAATTGGTGATGAACAAGTCCGGTGGCAACAAAAGAGAAGCCGGATCCAAATATCTGGACAGCACAGGTTCCCTACGGCTTGCCTTTTTGGCGGGCTTCTTTTGATCCACTGCTCCAAACTTGGTCTGGGCCCTGTCCTGTATATGCTGCTGCAATTCATGATGTTTCACCCACAAAAATGGCTTGGGTTTTGAGTTGCCCAGGCTTTTCAACGACGCCCAAACATTTTTGTTCTGCACGGCTTGCTGCAGGGCCTTTGTGCCAAAGAGTTTGATGGCTGCTTGGGCTCTGCTGCGCACCTCAGTGTCAGGAACGCCCTTGGACGGCAGGATCTGTTCAAGGGTTTTGATGATGGCCTCTTCTTCAGTCCCAAATCCAATCGGACCCTGAAAATGCAACATGCTGCTGCAGATTGCCAAGCTGTCATGCAAGTCCTCAAAATGACATGCCTGCTCATACGTGATGGACCCAATATGGTAAGCAAAATGCGCCAAAGCAACCGTTCCACAGGAATCCAAACGAGACTGAGGAAAAATCCACTGAGTAGACACCTGCACATGCTGGGTATTCCAAGCCGAACGCAAAACCTGGACCACAGACGTGAGATCAGAAATGGATGTTTGGCAGAGACCATCAAAGTGTTCGACGCACAAAGTTTGACCATCCCGGTAACAGTGCAACACTGTCCAATGAAAGTCCACAAGTGTGAAAATCCACATGGGCGCTTCAGTTGGCTCAAAGCTTCGAAACGTGCACCGACTAAGGTCACAGGCCTGACTGCCAAGAAGAACAACCTTGATCTGAGATGATGTGATCTGCTGCTGACCCTGCTGAGCCAAGGCTCGTGCAAAATCCATCACAAATTTCACAGTGAGACCATGGCAAACCCCCCGAGAAACAGTGCGCCCAGCTGCCGGGACTGGCAACTGCATTGGCTCATGAACTTCAAAAGGCACTGTGGTTGAGACACTGGCTTCGAAAGACATCGTGTCATCCTCACTCCTGCTGAAGCGGGCTGTTCGTGCTGCCCGCAAAGCTGACACCGCAAACGATGGAAGACCCAAAGCCAAATCCACAGCTTCAAGCACAAGTCCAAGAGAACCCTTGTCACCTGCATCAAAGCAAAGTGGCAAGTAATGTTCCAGATAGGCAGGGCGTTTGGCCGCACTTTTGACACGGTAAGCAAGGTACGATGCCACACTTGACGTCTCATTTTCAGGCTCAAAAAAGGTGACCTCCAACTTGGTAGCGTCAAAACCAAAACTGACCAAATTCCAACCCCAAGACTCCCAAGTGATGGCAAACACCAAGGCGCGATCCAAGGTCAACCAATCAAGAAGGTGTGATTCCATGGTACTCGGCCAAAATTCCACAACCGCCGCAGAGAAAGACGGGAGCCAGCACGTAAGGGATGCGAAATTTGTACCAGTCCAAGACAAAAGCAAATCAGAGCGCACCAGTTGGTCTAGGTGCCAAAGACCAGTGCCGCAAAAAGACTCCGACACACGCAGACTGCCAGTCCTGCCTGTCATCTGATCAAGTCCAAATCCACTCAGGCGAAGACTCAATTCAAAATCCAAATCTTCAGGTGACAGCTGCACAGTCACTGTTTGCCAAGGACGCAGACTACCGCTGGGGTCAATCTTGCTACCACATTCATCCACCAAACCCACAAAGTCAGGAATTCCAGCCCAACGCAGGAAAACGGAGCACGCCATGCAATCTGGCACCAAATGGAAAATACGAACACCCAGGTGCTCAAGCACAACAGGCACAAGGAGACCCTCGGATCTTGTTGGCTCTTGGAACAATTCCATGTGATAGCTTCGCTCCTGCAAAAAAGCCCAATCAGGCAACACAACCCCTTCACAGCTGATTTGTACCCGCACAGCACTTTGCAGAAGTGCCTCGGCACGCACCAAGTCACGTACTGTCTGAGTAGTACTGAAAGTCACCTCAGTGGTGGTACCTTGGAAAGTCAATGACAGGGTGGCTACTCCTGCAGTAGGGCTAGGCCAAACCAGGTTTCGTTGATCAAGCAACATGTTCATGTACCTTACCAAAAGCTCCCTAGGCGTCATACCCCATGGTGAGAGTCCACAATGCTTCAGGAGATGGGCATAAACCCAAAGCCCTTGAATGGGAGAGATGGCATTGCCGAAAAGAACCAACTGCGCCCTACAATCCTCCAATGTTTTCTCAAAAGGCGGAAATCCCATGATGAGCTGAAGTTCTTTCGGATGAACATGTCTAGGGGCATGTGGCCATAAGCCGGAGGTAACCTCAACTCCACGGAGTCCTTGTCGTTGCAAGCTGGATGGGCTGATGCCCTGGTCTCGGCAACCGCAAGGGCACGCATACAAAACGGAACCCCAGCTGTGCAATGCAGTCGGACATGGCTCTTGAAGGTTGAGCTTTCGATTCACTGGTCCAAAGTCGGGACAACGATAGGCTTGCAATTCAATGGGGGTCCATTGAAGTTGCTGCTCGTCCTTTTGTGGCCAAACCGGCCAAGGATCATATGGAAACAGCTCACCCAAAACTGGCATAGGCTGCAGTACAGGCAAATCTTCAAACCCAGAAAAACCAAGGCTACTAGGAACAATCAATGCAATCCATCGTGATCTACGGGCTGGCCAACACGAATGCAAATGCAAAACTTTTTGGAAGATGTCACAACCTCTCAGCTGGGCGTACTCACGAATGGCAGCCTGGGTGCTGAAATCATGAGCAGCCTCTGGAGCGCACTCCAGCAGCAATCCAGCTGTGTTCAACCAGTATGCTGCCCTTAAGACAGCAGGCAGAGTGCGGCTGCGAACAGGGATTCCAGCTGCTAGCACGGGTTGGCAGCCAGCTGCATTTTGTGCCTGGTGCATCTTATAAACTGTGTCATGGTGATCTATGTCAGCCAACAGGAAAGAGGTGGTGTGATTCATTTGATAGGAAACCGAAGCAAGGCAATTCCAATCAACCGCAGTGATCACAGACATCGAAAGAAAAGAGAAACTGGACGAGAAACCACCCAACCCACACAGGACGTCGTGAGAGGAAAGAAAGTCCAATTCCCTGGGGATGTTCACAGGCAAAGGATCATATTTTGGGTCCAAGGCAAAGATCTCATGTTGGTCATGCTTACAACCTAGCTTCGTGGCTTGGTAGAGCATCATTCTTTGGTCCATGTGACCACCAAATTGGACAACCAAGCTTGACCCAAAAGGGACATCCCGACAAACGATGTAATCATCCGTTTTCGTGATCACATCCACCAAAACATTTGACCTACACCCCGTAGGCATGTCAGTGACCGATCGAAGTTCCATGGCTAAACCGATTCTCGAACGTTCTGTTGCCTCAGTTTGACCGCTGGAAGGGGTCCGAGCCCAAACTATCATTGGTTATATAAATTACCCATAATGTCACCATGTTTGTTGATCAATATCCACACGTTTGTTTGCTGCTTAGATAGTATCAAATAGCCATGTTGTTTAGTTGGTTTTACCCCGATTTAGTTGTGTTGTTCCATCGTATACCCATTACTGTATATCCTGATGGTTAAAATACTACATTTCTAAAGACGAACCACCAGTGTCGGTTCCACCCATTTTTGAGATTGTCAAACACGACAAAAAGCAAGCCGAGCCTAGCAGTTCCAGCATGCTGGCCTGAGTGGACACACCATTCGAACCCCAACAGAAGGCCCCAGAACTGAAAAACTTGACACCCATTTCACTAAGGAGGTGAAACAAATCGATAGCTCAGGAGAACGTTTATTGCTATACACAGAATTTCTGGGGTATGTTTATTGCTTCAGGGCAGAGTTACTGTGATTTTTTGAGATTACTAAGCTGATTGACTCTGAGTTTGCGACAAATCCATGAATCCCCGAGCTAGGCGTCTATGCGTGAAGAAAGAAGCATTGCCTTGAAGAAAATATAGCACATTGATCAGACCGTTCTATAGGGTTTAAGGTGCCCGTTTTATGAAACAAACATCAACAAACACAATTTTCACTTGTCCAGGTGAACAAGTAGAACTCCCAAACCGCACTCCTAAAGTGTGTGAAGTCAGCCCTGGTTTCTCCCCAACGTGGCCGGTTCTCAACGTTCCGACAAGTGACCAGCATCCCGCTGTCCATGAGGTGAAAGAAGTACAAACTCTTCACCTTGGCTCCGATGAGGTGAGTCAGACATCAACTTTCGCACGGCCTCGCCTCGTCTTGCAACCGGGGACGTTCATGATCTTCATTAATGTTCGATGTGGGTGTGTCTGAAAATAGTGTACCCCTAAACCCAATGGTTAATGATCATTATCCCTATTAAATGGCTATAATTGGGACTATACCCTATTTTCAGACAAACCCATGTTGGGAATGATATAGTTCTTGTGGTGAACATGTACCTGTGTACCCCTGCTGAGATTAATCATCATAGAAAACAAGGTCTATATCATGTGTATATGTTTATATATATTAACGATTAGGGCACAGTACTATAATTAACAATTAACACATATTCTTAAGTAACATCCCAACCCTTGATAATCCCAATTAGTAGTTCATAAGTTCATCAATGATGAATACTACAATTGTGGGATGATGCCCCAACGGTCACAAGAATACCGAGGTTGTGGCAAGATCACCAGTTTGGACCCCAGTTGAAAATGAATTGGTCAAACTCTCAAAACTGCCTCACAATATCTTCATTTATCCTGATCTATCCTGATTGAATCTGTTGAATCTCCAATTCAGATTGGTTCCAGATTGGTTGAACACATCTTAAAACCCATAAAACCAAAATCTACTGCAGGAACAACTAAAAACAACAACAAAAAAGCGACGGCCCACATCACTTTGCACCAAGCGATCCAATTCCTCTGCGCCCCCCCGACGCCGCTGCGGCTGATCGAGGTGTCCACCACCTCCAACTCGCTGGCGGCATCAGCCAAGAGCCGAACGCCTCAACTCAGCGAGTCCAGAAAAAAATGAGGGGGAAAAAAAAAATACGTTATTGGTATAATCTATATATATATATCATATATATATATATCAGTTATTAGAATCATCTATAATCTTTATATATAGTATAATATAACTCTGTCATAGATTCTTCTAATAACTGATGCTTTATAGTATAATATAACGATAATATAACTATAACTATAAATATAACTATACCTATAATATCAATAGAAAATCTTACGCTATTATAGATTGTTATAAATTATCATAGATATGTGATTGTAGATGATTCTATAGTGTATTATTATCTATGATTATAGATGATTATAGTATAATGAAATAGTAGAATATAAGAATCTATCTAATAGTGATAGTTCTAGATCTATGATTATCTATAGAAATAGATATAGTCTATTGGTTATATATACTTAATCATCTATAGTTATACTATATATATATTATAATCAATATGGTATAGAAACTATCATCTATAGATATGATATGTTATTGATGATGTTAAACTATTGTTACTGTATATTGTCTGACGGTATTGTTTTCTATATTAATTTATAATAAAGTATGTATAATCTGACTATCTGCTTGGTGATTAACTTAACCAATTCCAAGTCATCTCAACCTGTGGACCGTCCATTCATGGCGATTCTCCAGTGGCTTTGGGGCCCCCTGCCAGGAGTCTCCAAGAGTTCCCAGGCGTGTCTGGAGACCATGTTGGTATTCCAATGAACTCAGCAGGCCACACGGAGATGTGTTGCTCCGGAGCCAAAGATGATGCTCCGTATTTTAGATGCCGGAGATTCCGAGATTTCTTTCCCCAGCTTCTGCGGAAAGTGCCCGTAATTAATGAAGAATAGGTGACTTTACACCCATGGTCAGCAGTGCCCATATTTCTAGCTTTTGTCATCTTTTATCCCATGATGGTCAGGATACCATGTTTTTTTTGCTCCACATCTGGTCTAGAGTTCCCCACATGTGCCCAAATGCGGATCCGTTCCCCAATTGGGGGTGCGAGACCCATGAATCGTAAGTGGGTTATAACCAGAATAACATTATATTATTGTGGTATACCCTTTAGAACGAGGTCATATTATGGTTAATTATTCTCCACTTACATACTCTACTAACTGGGTTGCACATCCAAAAAGTCGCAGTGGATTCCAGCCGCGAAAAACTCTGAACACGGAAAAAAAAACAACAAATCATCGAGCCTTCTAAATTCTATCAATTCTAACTTTCACAACTTTTCCCATCCTTTCCCAAGTGTCACAACCTTAACTTCCTCAGGTTTTCTCTATGTTTTCCCCATGTTTTCCCGGCTTTGAATTAAGCCCCGCAGCTGACCAAGATCCGCCCTGTGAGCTGCGCCAAATTCATGGCCGAGACCATGACCACTGCCTCGGTGACTCAGTGATGACATGTGGATCAGCTGGATTTAATGCTGGGTGATGTATACCCTCTGGTAATTTGTTACATAGCTATTGAAAATGACCATAGAAATAGTGGATTTTCCCATTGAAAATGGTGATTTTCTATAGTTATGTTAGTTTACCAGAGGGTATTCATGGTTAAAAACATGTGGGAACCTGTTGCTTAACTTTAAGTGGATATGTTATTTCAATGTTGGTTTATCATGGTTTTGAAAAACCCAACTGAATGTTCTAGTTAGATGTTATAAAGATGTTACATAGTTAGATGGGGATCTACCATCAAAGATATGGGAATTGAACTAGGGAAAATGGTGATATTACAATTGTAATTGTCATACAATGGTGATATCGTGATTATCATGAGGATATACTATGCAAATGCAACTAGCCAACTTGATGACATTTGATGACTAATTGGGATGTTCAAAAGCTGCTAACAAAAGCAATGTCGTGTCATGAAAAATGCTGGTTGGTAAATAGAACGGAATTCCCAGTTCACAATGATAGTCCCTAAAGTCCCCAATCGACATTATAGGGTAGTTTCACCCACAAACTAAGCATCAACCAGCACGGGTTTTGAACACTGCCAATTTGTGTATCGAAATCATAGCTGGTTCTTGATAATGATTGGATCATGACGGAATATGCCTTAAATTGGAACAATAGCTAAAATAGTTGCTGGACGATAGTTGGAATAATAACATCATGACAGTATATAATGTAATTGTAAAAAACATTTAAAAAATGCCAACAATAACAATAAATAGCAAGGCGCCATACAGTCATTGCAATCCATTATCAAACAACCCCTTTTTGTGAAGATACTGGACATTTAACCATGGTTAACCAACATTAAGACTCGGCTTGGCTTGGGCTCAGGTGCCACGTTTCCAAGGCCCACCTGGGGATTGTAACCTCAGCGGGCTGGAAACGTTGGAGCCGTTTGTCTCAACTCGCTGATTTTTCGACATGGGAATTGGAAATCGAAATCTTATTTCTAGAACTAAAATAGATGTTTAGTATACAATATATATATATATATATGTATGTATACACATATCATTTCCGATGGTCCGAAGCCAATCTGGGCCTGGAACTGTGCTGTTCCGTCTGAGTTCACCGGACACACCAGGTATTTGGCTCTCGAGGGCACCAGAGCTGTGGCAGATTGCGACCAGGAAAATCACCATTTTTAATGGGAAAATCACCATTTTTAATGGGAAAATCACCATTTTTAATGGGAAAATCACCATTTTTAATGGGAAAATCACCATTTTTAATGGGAAAATCACAATTTTTAATGGGAAAATCACAATGTTTAATGGGAAAATCACCATTTTTAATGGGAAAATCACAATTTTTAATGGGAAAATCACCATTTTTAATGGGAAAATCACAATTTTTAATGGGAAAATCACCATTTTTAATGGGAAAATCACCATTTTTAATGGGAAAATCACAATTTTTAATGGGAAAATCACCATTTGTAATGGGAAAATTTTAAAAAACCCTCTGGTAAACTAACAGTTTGCTATGGAAAATCACCGGTTTTTAATGGGAAAACTCATGAAAACTCACTATTTCTATGGCCATGTTCAATAGCTCTGTTTGTTTACCAGAGGGTAGGGTTGGAGAAATTGGACTGATCTGAGCTGTAGATCTATCATGATCTATCATGATCTATCATGATCTATCATGATCTATCATGATGTGTCATGATCTATCATGATCTATCCAGTCTTATCTCAATCTAATCTGATCCGATGCATATCTGTGCAATCTATGCAATCAGCAGTACTGTATACTGCAATTTAATCTAATCTAGTCAAAACTGGTCCATTTAAATCTATGCATCTCCGTACTGTTTACCCAGGGTTATGAGAGGTATCAATGCTTCACTGACCTGCCCATATGACATGTCCTCAATTAACACACAGCTTTTGTCACCACCCTTGGTGGAACTTGGTGTATGATAAATATTACCCTCTGGTAATTTGTTACATAGCTAAAAAATGTGACTTTCCATAGCAAACTGTTAGTTTACCAGAGTGTAGAAAGATGGGTCATAAACCCACTTACTAACCAGTTACGATCCCTGGGAAAATCGTGCCTAAGTCACGCCTGTGTGCTGAACATCTGCTTTCCCCCAGAAAGATAGAAACCCTTCAATCTATCACTATTTTAGCTGGATGTTACTACTCTATTTTTCTGGGGAGTGCCTTATTATATCTATATAACGTATTACATCATTACCTAGACCCTCCAAGTACACTTTCAAAATCTTATTTTACCCCATAGTTTCAGTATATTACATTTAAAAATTGCGGGTATTTATGGATATTTATGGAGGGTCTAGGTATAGTTACATATAGTTACTGTATATCCCCACAGGGTGGTGCCCCAGTTCGTTAGCTAAGTTGGTGCGTTTATAAGTCCAATTTCACTATGGTTGTTGTTGGTGATATATCGAACTAGTTTTCATGGGAGTATAACCCATTTATAACCCATTTGTAGTTACTGCTGGTTGGTGGTATACCTACCCCTCTGAAAAATATGAGTTCGTCAGTTGGGATGATGACATTCCCAACTGAATGGAAAGTCATAAAATTCATGTTCCAAACCACCAACCAGACTAGTTTTCATGGGAGTATAACTGGTTGGTGGTTTAACCATCTTGAAAAATATGAAAGTCAATGGGAAGGATTATCCCTTTTTTATTATGGAAAATAAAAGCCATGTTCCAAACCACCAACCAGATAACCCTTTTATAACCCATTTGTAGTTACTGTATATCCCATTTACCCTCTGGTTATGACTAACAGTTCGCCATGGTCTTTAGATGGCCCTAATCGAAATAGATTCGGTTTATAAAAAAAGTGATAGTGATTCTCCATGGCAAACTGTGAATGTCATAACCAGATGGTATAACCCATTTATAGATACTGTATATCCCCACCATATCCCCCTTGTATCTCCATCTGCCGTCCCGCCTGGCCGCGGCGGTGCGAAGCTCGCGAAGCCTGGGAGGAGCTCATCGCTGGCCTCAGGTTGTTGCCGTGGTTTAAGGGTGGATTAATCGTGGTGGATTAATAGGGATTACATGGGATTAATTTTGGGAATTGATGATGATTTTTAGGCACTATAATGGTTATAATTGTGTATGATTATACTGATAATTGTGGTATTTCATGGGGGTTTTATAGGAATGAATGGTATTTTTGATGATGATTCAGAGGAAAATTCACCAAGAAACATTCAAAAATTCCCGTCACTAAACGTTGACCAACTGCGCTGGAAAATGCCTATTGCCAACCAGAGGAACCATGGGATTCTGCAGCAAAAACTGGTGAAACTCAGGGAGAGATCAATGGTGGTTTCCATAAATGGGCTACCCAATAGCTGGATGGTTTCAGGGAAAATCCATGGAAAATCCTACTCAAATGGATGATTTGGTTGGGGGTATACCCCTATTTTAGGAAAAAAAACAAATGGTGAAACTCGTGAAAACTGGTGGAAATTTTGATTTCACTTGGGATGAAACTTTTGGATTCACAGATTCGCAACTCACCAGAGGTCGGAGTCAGCTGTGAGAATCGTCGGATCCCACGGTCAATGTTTCTTGGTGTTTCAGGGAACATCTACCCTCTGGTAAACTGACATAACTATGGAAAATCACCATGTTTGATGGGAAAATCAACTATAAATGGCCATCTCAATAGCTATGTTGGTTTACCAGAGGGTACAGAAAACCATGGTTCTTTACGAAAAAACCACTTTTGTATATCCGTTCCGGTGGAGAAAGAACGTCACCTGCCGTCCCGGATCGTGAAATTCTTCATACCGAAAAAGGGTCCTTCCTAAACCTAAAAAAAATGTCAATCTGAAACACAAAAAAAGTCGGGGATTTGGGGCATCTTCAAATTTCTGACAACTTCAACCATTTCACCAAACAAAAACATGTTTTTGTCCCAGCTACTACTCCCAGCTCGCTGTTGATTCGTAAGGCCTGATGCGGAGGTGCCAAGTCGGTGTTTTTTCAACCACTGAATTTTGGGGGTACTGTGCCATACATTCTTTTTGTGGCAAATCCTGCAGAACTGAACAACCTGTAAAATCTAATTCGGCGGGTAGTGTCAGGCGCATCGACCCAACTTTCCTGGAGTTCAAGTTTAGGTTTATAATATGTATATATACATATATATATACATATACATATACATATATATACATATATATATATATATACATATATAAATATACATATCTACATATCTACATATCTACATAGATACATATATACATATATACATATCTACATATCTACATATCTACATAGATACATATATACATATATACATATATACATATATACATATCTACATATCTACATATATACATATACATATACATATATATATATATATGCACGTATACATATCATATATGTATAGATATATATATATATACATCATTGTATACTGTATCCATTTCTGATCCTCACCCGAAAAAGGTAATCAAATGGAACACAAATCGGCCTTTGGGGCTGTGGACTGGGGAGTCTTCAACCAAGTGAATCAAAGCCAGCAGGGGGATGGTAGAAAATGCTCAAAACACCATGGGCTGGCGAAAAAAACAGTCATTTTATTTGAGGACTGGGTTCGACCATTCTATCTGGCCACAATCACCCGGCATCTATTTATAAACTGAATGTGTTTCTTTGTTTCATTCGTGCTTCAATCTGCCATGCATATATATAATATAATATATATATATGGAATGCAAATAACTCCAATTGCTTCTGGTGAACGCCAACCCTCCTCTTTCAATGTCAAAAGATTCAAACCAAGATGTTTTCTTCCGGTGTAGATATGCGCACATGTGTCCACGTAGTCTCTCTCCAGCCCCGACTGGTGGCTTTACAAACCCAGTGAACCAATGCCTAAAGAGTGAACCATTTGTTTGTCAATTGGGCATCGGAATCCAGGGGGTGAAAACTCCAAATCTTCATTTGCCCCATTGAACAGGCCATAGATTGGGTTATCCTAGCTTTTTTGAATGGAATGTTAACTTTCTGTAAACACGATATTCCAGAAACATTTCTCAACATGTGTATATATCATGTTAAAAACCCTATCATGCCTATTGCATTATTATATATTTTCTTACGATCATTATTATCATCATCGCTATTGTATAGGTTACATAATATATATATATATATGTGTGTGTATGTATGTATACATATATATATATATTACATACATGTCTATCTATACATTGTATATGAAAATAAGATCGAAGAACCCATCAGAGTCTACTACCGGTCGCCCCATGTCACGTAGAGCGCCATTGCGCCACCCCATGCCACGCCTCGCCCAAACAGCTGCGAGCGCCCTCATACTCATGGAGACGATAGAGCAGCGCCTCGGCTCCGAGCGATGCATGATGTTTGGGACCTGAGAATTGAGGAGGTTTGATGGTTTACCATCTGGTTATGACTAACAATGGGGATATGGTGGGGATATGGTGGGGATATGGTGGGGATATGGTGGGGATATGGTGGGGATATACAGTAACTATAAATGGGTTATACCATCTGGTTATGACATTCACAGTTTGCCATGAAAATTCCACCATGCTATTAATAGGTAAACCATCTATTTCTATGGGTCATCTATACCATGGCTATGTTGAATAACCAGAGGGTACTTGATGGTATCACAGGATTTACTCTGGTATTAAGTGTTCAAACATCCTCTGGTAGGGTATGGATATGTATGCCAGGATTTTAAGTACACCATCAAACATGCCAGAATTGTTTGGTTTACTTAAAATCACCTTCTCACTAAAATATGGCATAAAAATGACCTCCAAAAATGATATATCCAGCATAAATATGCATAAACCCTATTTAGCTGTTCAACCAAGTACATCATCATTTTGCCGTGTTAAATCACCACATAAATCCATGGTAAATCCCATGGTAAATCCCATGGTAAATCCCATGGTAAATCCCATGGTAAATCCCATGGTAAATCCCATGGTAAATCCCATATTTGTGATGTCCAAGTTGCAGCTTGTGTGAAGACTTCCCAGCCCTCCGGCACTCGATCCGCTGGCATAACCACCTGAAAACGAGCGCTGGGTCCTACGATATACCACACATGCCGAGAAAAGGCTTGAATATTGTACTATAGTCTGCAATCATATATTTATTTATGAATGTTTATGTATATATCATGTATATATATATATACATATGAGTTAACAGCTAATAATATCTGTAGTAATCTTTAGTACACTATACTAGTTCATGTAGCGTTAATAGTATCAGTGTCTCTGGGTTTATCATGGGATGGCTCTTGGTGAAGAGCCCCTATACTCAAAGATCGTGGGGGTATGACATTAAAAAAACATGCAGAGGATGAGGGGCGACAGCTGTCAAAATGTGGATGCCCCTGTCAAAATGAAAGCTTTCTCAACAGTTGGCCTCACATCTGACCACTGGTTTGAACATTTGATCCATGTAAATCATGCATGTACGCTGGATGTCTCAGTTTTTTTCCAGAGACAGGTGGTTTCCTGGAGGTGCAAAGATCAACCAAAACTTCTCCATTTTTGAAGTCACGCACACACACAATCAACAACTGGTTGGTGGTATACCTACCCCTCTGAAAAATATTAGTCAGTTGGGATGATTATTCCCAATATATGGAAAAAATATATAATGTTCCAAACCACCACCCAAATAACTTAAGCAGGCTTGATTCGATGTCATTTATGAAAACTGGAGGAGCAGCTTTGGTATACCAAAACTGCATTTCTTTATCCGGATTACCCCTCTTTTTCTTTTGGTGACATCACGGCCAGCTGAGATACACTGATTGATTTTGGCTGATTGGTCGATAATATTCCCATGTGTGGCACATTCACTAATCAAAATAATTAACATCTCAAGCTCTCAAACTACTCAACCAGATTATTCCCAGCTATGCTTTTAACAAGCTGTGACCCCTCCATGCCGATGCTGCCTTCATCCACTCCCAGTCCCATTGGTCCTGGAAACTGCAGGGATGTGGGTCAAGTGGCCCCGGGAAATGGAAAAATCCTTGGTACCCTCTGGTAATTTGTTACAAAAAACTATTGAAAATGGCCATAGACATTGAAATGTATGGAAAATGTATGGACAATGTACCCTCTGGTAATTTCACATAGCTATTGAAAATTGCCATAGAAATAGTTGATTTTCCCATTCAAATTGATGATTTTCCATAATTAGTTATGTTAGTTTACCGGAGGTACATACTAAGACCCATCTGGCAAATGCTGGTGGTCTTGGGTCAAAAATTCCAAAGAGTGAATATGTTCCCAGCTTCAATTGTCCAGCAAAGTGACCAGGTGCCGAATATCCTATTCCTCTAAACCTCGCAGAAGTTGCAGGTGGCTAAGCTCACTCCCAATTAAAAAGAAACATCAAGAAACTGCAGGGATATGATCTTCCTCCATTGATGGCTTGAATTTAAATGACTCATGATTTGGGGTTTTGGGGATAGCTTCCCTCCAAACAGCTTCACGAATCTATGGCAGCTGGGTACGTTTGGGATGTTTCCCTTTGCCCACGGCATAAGTTATCCAAATCTAAGGCCATGGAATTTCCTGACTTTTGTATGCATTTTATATATATAATTACATACATATATATAGTTACATACATATATATATATAATTATATATATATATACATATATATATAATTACATATGTATATATATATATGTATAAATACATAATATATATATATGTATATATACATATATATATGTATATATATATACATATATATATATATGAAACGAATTGATCTGATATATTGGTTGTGTGTGGATGATGCATCGCTTATTCACTGGGATGCCTATAACGATCGAAACGTTTCGTCCTTACCATCAAACTCAATAGCGGGTGGTGGCGCTGGCCTGATGGTGGCAGGGTGAACCTGAATTCTGAACAAAAAACCATGGCCGCATTTTGATAAAGTCATATGTGCCATGGTCAAGTTACATGCGTTACTACATTTAAAAAACAACAAAAAGGGTATAGAAATCTCTCCTCGATTGATGACCAGATGACCATCTCCAAATATGGATATACAATCCAACCTTTCACCATGATGGCAATATACTCACAAAAGTATGGGGAAAACTTATGACCCTCCAAAAAATGGATGGTTTACGATGGTTAATACCAAGAACTTACCAATTCCTGGGTCCACTAGTACCGAACGGCCTGTGAGCCTTTGGCAACGATTTTCCTAGACAAGTGGGTCTGAAGGGGTCCCCCATTTCATCCAGTTCATTTCATATAAATTTCCCTATTAAAATAATTCAGACATACTGGTATATGGAAGTTTCCTCAACTGGGGGTACCCCCAAATCATTCATTTTAATAGGCTTTTGAATGAAAAAAAACATCCAGCTATTGGGGTACCCCCATGACTATGGAAACCCCATTTGATGTTTTTTCCGTGACCGACCTCCCGAGACATCTCGTGTCCCCTCTTGAGGTGCCCCAGCTTCCGTCCATTTTGCTCCCACCTGACGTCAGGTTCCGTAGGATTTCTTGAGGGGACCCTGGCCACATCGGGGATTTCGCAGCTGTTTTTTCAAATCCCATCGTGGGTTGATCACCATGCCCCAAAAAAAATGAAAATCCTATACAACCATGGCACATGCAATGCATGTCGTAAGATGCCACATAAATCACAATACAACTATACATATCTATACTAATGTAATTTCATGATAAAGTATGTCATGAATATGTCATGTGCATTTTTGATAAGAAATCTTCAAACATGTGTCACACACGACAATGGGGCCAACTAGTTGGAGATCCACGTCATCCCCCAGTGACCAAAGCATCCCCAACGCTATGGAAGCATGGTAAAGTCATCATCCCCTCCGGTATTCAAACGTGGTTGCCCGGGAAATCCCCGAACTAAGTGGAGGTTCGAAAAAAAACTCGGTTTTCCAGTGCGATCTTTCATGACCGGAGGGCATTTTTTTTACCCCAGCTGCTTCTAAAACATGCCCAGTGGTGGTGATTTTTTTCGGTGGTTGAGCCGCTGACCATTGCTTGAAGGAGCTGTACATCACCTGTGGGCAACATGTTCCAGGCTGTTTTTCGGGGACAGTGAGGGCCTTAAAAATGTAAGCTTACATGGCTTACATGATCTTACATGTTGTTAGTACGTGGAAACTGTATACTGTACAAGCTCACAAGGTCCCAAAAATATGTTTTCTGAAAAACAAAAAAGGGGGCCCTGAAAATGTTCGTTTACAGATAAACATCAAAAAAGGAGGAGGGGGGTCGAATATGATTCTTACATTTAGGTATACCCCCATTCCGTAGGCCTCAAAACTTTAAAACTGTGGTGATTTAAAATCCACAAACACCGGCTAGTTTCATGTGAACTTTAGGGCACCAAGGTGAACTAAGCCAGATCCATCTGGTTTTTTCTGTTCAGGTTGGCGGCGTAGGGAAGCCGGTGTGAAAGAAAGCAACAGAAACATCTACATTTTTAAGGGTTGCCAACCATGCAATGGATCGGAAAGTGTCAAGCCCTTGCAGCATAGTGCAGCAAAAGACCTTTGTTTATCTGGGGTAAAGTTCTAGATTCAGACTTATCAGACTTTAAATGCTGGGGAAATCGCCTAAAAATCATATCTCATGAAACAAAATGATCCAATTGTAGAAATTTCCATGTTTCTTGCAGCCCTTGTGACGTATCTCCATGAGTCAAAATCCCATCCAGGATCGCGCCTTGTTGTCCTTCTTCAGACTCGGGATGTACTCCGGTGTTAGGTGCAGAAAGGGCACCAACTGCCTGGCGTCGATCGCTCCTTTTCCGAAAAAAAAAAAAAACATGGAATCTCCGTTCACCTCAAAATCGCGATGTTCGCCTCATGGATACTATATGATAATATAATATAATATAATATAATATAAGATAAGATAAGATAATACAATAGAATATAGTCTGATAATGTGGTACCACAGGTTTTCGACCATCCCCGTTTACTTTAATCTTTGTGATCTTCGTGGCCAGGCCAACAATCCACCCATCCAAGTTTCTCCAGGAAATGGGCGCCACGGGAAATTACGCACGGCTGAGAAAATTCACGATACCCGCAACGAACATGTTTTTTGAAAAAGCAGGATATCAACATCATTCAAAACTATTCAAAATACCATCATTCCTCCATTACAATTGGAAAACAATGATCTAATCCAGATTCATCCCACACCTGGAGGTTTACCAAGGACAAAAAAAAACATGCTGGCCAGGCGGGTGAGCAAACTTTCCTTGGAATCTGGTGGCGGTTGTGGGAAGCTCCAGGATATTGGCTAACCATTGGGATATTTCCGGGGGTAATCATCGTGGATTGCGTGAAAAAAAAAGTATCTGCAGCGTCCCTAAATAAAATGATCTGCAATAAGTATATTTATATAGATGTTCATGTAATATCATATTATCATGTACCCTATTATCAAATTATTTGATGGCCATAAGTGAGAGATAAACCCCATTTGCAAACACACCACCCATGGAACGGCAAGACTATGTTCGGTTCTCTGCCCATGAGACATGTCAGAAGGCTTGGCTAGCCAAAAATTGCACATTATATATATATAATAACGTTTTAAAAATATATATAATTATATATATATAATTGTATATATGTTATTTTTATATATATAATGATGATGTCGCTTCCCATCTATCCATTCTGGATGATAAACTATTCTCACCTCGGAAAATCGGCCCACAGTGATTTGAGTATCAGATTCCTTGTGGTGGGGATTCCATGGCAAACCTTCGGGACTTCAAATCAGGACATGAATTAACTCAGCCGGGTGCAGAAGCGAACTGCGGTCGTGAGACCGTGAGATGCCAGTATCGTTTGAACATATCCATCAACAAATAAGGATTTTTCATGGGAGTTCATGGGAGTTCATGGTGATACAATAGGATCTATTAGCATCCCTCCAGTCATGGGAAATCCTCCATCACGGCATCGTGGCAACGTGGGCAGCCCAGGCTCGTGCTCGGGACAAGAAGACGGCCAGGTTGTCGATGCCGCAGCAGGAGTGTTTCACCAACTGCCGGGATGCTGGAGTTCCCCCACAGAAATCCAGAAATGATATTGGTTGATATACTGGTTGGTGGTTGAGCCTACCCCTCTGAAAAATATGAGTTCGTCAGTTGGGATGATGACATTCCCAATATATGGAAAAATGAAAAATGTTCCAAACCACCAACCAGTGTATATATATATATAGATATAGATATAGATACAACGGTTGAACAGTTGAACATCAATGAAACTTGGAACCACCAATACCAGGCAACTATAGATCGGATTTTAAGTTACACATCGCAGGGTTGGGATTCGAGGCCACATTGACAAACATCACAAACAGCTCTTCAGACTATCATTGCAGGATATTGCAGGTGTTGCCATCCCCAACTAACAAGTACTAACATAGACCCACAGATAGGGGCTTGGAAGAAATCTTTCCTGTAAAAATTGCTAATTCTCAGGGTCTACGTGAAAATGTGGGGGATGGTGGTTTTTTGGCGCCCCTTATGAAGGAGATCATATAGCATTTTGCGGCCAACCTACGACCATAAGGATCTTCACTGCTGGATGGTGGCTTGGCTTCGATACTCTTAAGTTCATCGAACCCAAGGGCATAAAATCTTGATCAAGATGGCATTCACTAAGCCATCCAACATATCCCACCAAATCCATCTATTCACACAGTATTCACATTTATTCACATCCATTCTCATTCACATCTATTCACATCTATTCACGTCCAATCACATCCATTCATATTTACCATTCACATCCATTCACCTTCCAGTTCATACCCAGCAGCACATTTCTTTTGAGAACACTCGCACCTGCAGATTTCTCCAGGCATACAACGCCAATTCATAGACCTGGCGTCCCGGGGGACTGCCCGAAACGATTTCGTAAAGGATAGGAAAGGATACACCATGTATTTTTAGATGTTTTTTTAGATGTGTTAGATATGGATATCCCGTTGATTTTTCACTGTAGAAAAACTCAGACGTGTGCAACTGGACATTGATTACATTGATTACATTGATTACATTGATTACATTGATTACATTGATTACATTGATTACATTGATTACATTGATTACATTGATTACATTGATTACATTGATTACATTGATTACATTGATTACATTGATAGTTATACATTATTGATTAGTATTAACTCACCATAATACCAGTATTATACCGGTTAATCCAGTATTAACCATTGACTAACCACTAGACTCACCAGGTGACCCATTGATGGATCTTTCGCAACGATCCAATCTTTGATATCGCGCGCTGTGGGGTGTCCCAGCGGGATCAATGGGATCAATGGGATCAGAATTGCAAAAAACAGATGATTATGGAGCGATCTCTAGATCAAAAACCCTTCAAACAAACATAATTCATATATAGATATATAAATATGTGTATGTATGTATATATATATAATAGCAGGATAGAAGATAGCATTTGATCAAAACGGGCCAATCACATCATGACCATCCAGGAAAAAAACATCCAGAAATAAGCCATCAACCTACCCAGCACCATCCAAGCCCCAGCAGCCTCTGGTTCGGCAGACTCTTTGAAATGGGAGTTGATGATATCTTCCTTGCAGAAAGCTACCGGAAAGATCCGAGATGTGGTACTTTTTCATGATTCCCCAGAACATGGGGATGGATTAAAGTAGATCTTTTTTTTTTTTCGGCTCAAGGCCCCTTTGGGACTGAATTGCTCAAAGCTGGAGGGCTAAAATATGAGTTCTTCGATCGTGTTCTCGAAAATGATCTCACATGGATTTCGTGAATCATCAAACATAGCTTGCTGGATGTTCCCCTAGTTAGTTCAATGCTTTTCCCAGCTATTACACCATCGATTTGTGACAAAAACACTCCATGTTTCATGGGCATTTTGGAGGCCCATGGAGGCAGCCAAGGCGCCACTTTGGTCTTATCCCACCCCACAAAGGCATTGCCTGAACGGAGGTATCCACACAGCAAGCTGGGTCGATGGGGATAATCCTCCCAGATCTGGTGGATCAAGACGGTGTCTGACCAATCTTCCTTGCAGTGTTTATTTCAGTTACTCATACTGGGTTTTCCTGCTCTTGAGAATATGTATCTAGAAAAAAAACATCCCAAGTTGCGACAAACCTGAGAGTACAGCCTCCAGACAACTCCATGTGCCTCCCCAGTAGGTCATTCTGCTTCTTTCTTCCGCCACCTCAACAAAGGACATCCGTGGTCGTGGTCGCGGGATCCAGGAATCATCAGTGGTGATATGGTCAGCCGTTAAAGTATGTTAAAGTGGTATATTGCCAACAAACCATGGGTATTCACCCAGCTATGATCTGATACGGTCAAAATTCGAAGGGATGTTTGATAAGTGGTTGATAAGCTCTATCTAATTATCTATATCAATATGTATGTATATTTATATTATATATATATATGTTATATGTTATAGATGTATCTCTAAATCTAAATAACATGGTAAATCGTCCCAAGTAATCCGCACTTTGGCGTTCACGTTAAACCTGCCACCAAGGGGCGAAATCATCCACCCATGGGATTTGAAGCCCCACCCAGGGATTCAGATGCAAAGCCAAGGACACATACCTCAGCTGCCATGGCTACAGGGATGGATGGTATATGGATGGTATATGGATGTGTAATATATCTTCAAATGTTCCAAACCACCAACCAGTTATGTATCAAATATGAGGACTTGGTCAACACTTCAAGATCTGAAAAAGATGGTTTTTGTTAGAAAAACACATTTGGATTAAATGTACAACAGTGATCAACAGTGATCAACAGTGATCAACAGTGATCAACAGTGTACAAGACAAAAACACAATCCTGTCACAAATTGAGGATTTAGATGGATTTAGTGATTTAGTCATATTGGATCCATGGTAAATCTTATGTTCACTTCGATCATCCTTGCTTCTGGGCTTTCCGACCCTCGGGCGATTCTCTTCTCTCCGCGCTTGTCACTGCGAGGTGCGCTTCGCAGCGTGTCACTTGGGGAAACGTGGGTTTTTTGACCACCCAAAGATGGCAATCCCAAGCAACATCAAAAACAAGAGGATGGGATGGGTTGCTTCACGGAAATCAAAACAACAGAACCGGGGATGTCTTGGATTCTAGCTCCAAAACTCCGGGCTAGTTGCTTGGGCACAGCCTATTGGCCCTACTGGGTGGTATCCAACTGGTTCCACGCTGAACTTCACTGATCTCAATCATAAAATGGATCTCCTATTGGTGATTTCAACATGTTTTAACCCATCCCAAGAATTGCAGTCATTTAGGAATCATCATATAGAATAGGAATGAAACATAGACACGTCTATTCGAAAAGAACAACCCAAAAAAAAATAGCAGAAACGTGCGAAAAAAAATATCACCATTTTTCTCCATCGGAACAATGACTTGACTCTTGACCCACACAAGCCGTGCTGATCTGAAACTGGACCCCAATCCATCTCCTGGGAACTGAAACGGGTAGCCTCCAGAATGGCAATTTTGCGATACGGAACAGAATGGTAAACTACTGGATGGTGGACTATTTTTGAGTTGTTTGTCGCATTTTTGACAAACACAGTACATGTATATATATATACATATATATATATATATAATTATATATATATATATCATTAAATCCCCACCATCATTCCAATATGATTGGTCGAATCCCTATGATCACCCCCCATCAAAGCCATCTTCAAAGAAATAGATCTGCTTCCGTCGTGAAACATGCCAGCAGTGGCAGTTCTCTGCCGCGGTTGCCAATCCTCGCACCAAGGAGGCTTGGGAATTGGAAAGGTGGTGCGCAAGAGAATCCGGTTGACTAGTCTATGTAATATTTATACATATATATATATATATATACATGTATATATGTAATCCCCCTCACAATATTGCTTCTAGCCTGGGTGTTGTCATTTTCAAGGATTGCCTTGTATATATAATATTACATTATGACAACCACCCGCGGTTTTGCTTATACAGAGACAAATTAAAAAAGGTGGTGTCAGACCCGACTTGGGAAATCGTCCACCCCCAATCTGACATTTTATGAGGAAATGAAACCAGTAATTGGGGAAATCAAGCACAAAAAAAACGGCTCAAATGGCATTCCATGGAAATGTACACATATATAATCACATATATATATATATACATTAAGGTCTGACTTCCAATTTCAAAAAAAAAACGTGGTTTTCTCTTTTCTAAGACCCTGTCTGTTGCTATCACTAGTGATTTTACAAGCTCACCTGAAAAAAGAACATGGTGTATACTCGTATGAAATGCCTATTCCTAATACTATATGGGGGAATCGACAATTTACAACTCCCCTTTGGCATCCTGATTTTGAATAGGGACCTTATGAAATGACCCCGAAATCCAAACCCAGATAGAGTTCATAAGGTTTATCAGGAGGGGGATAAAAAAAAACTGTTATATATTTGGAGGTTTCCTAAGTCATGGTGGTACTTCCAGTTATCATCTTAGATTGGGATTCTCCATGAAATAAACATAAATAAACCATCCAGCGAACTTGGGGTACTCCCATTTATGGAACCACCATGGAACCACATCTCATAGCCGCCATAGCCCAGCGAACTTGGGTCGACAGTGGGAAAATCACCGGAAAGAAATGGGGACTTTTTTTGGCATTTTTTCAGTGGGTGGCACCCGGGAAGTTGGTTCATAACTAGGCGATCTATAGGGCTTTATGCATGCAACAGATATGATATATACATTGTACATCTAATTACATCTATATATCATTTATATATGTGTATATATATATACTGTATCTACCCTTCGATGGGGAAATATAAACCAAGAAACATCACAAGGGGATCCATGGGGGCTCCTGGAGCCGCAATCACTTCTCATAAAAACCCGATCTTTCGCAAATCCACAGAGCTTGTGCAAACGGAGAGGCATGCACAGAGGATCTGTGAGTTCTATAGCCAATGGTATGCCAATGGTATGCCAATGGTGAGAGACACCAGCATCTCAACCCATCGGAAGCTCTTTAAGAGTACAGCTGGTAGGTCCCAAAATCGTAGAATAACAAGCAGAAACCTTGTTATTGGGTCCTGTTAAACATGTCATTTGCTGGTCATGTCGTTGCCAGGGTCCAGCTGAAATCTGGATCTGGGAGATCTGGATATATCTGGATACCCTATAGATGGCCCTTGAACTCAGCCAAATCAGCTCAGTTTCTGCACTGGATTGCTCAATATCCGATAATCTCGTCCACCTTGGTCCAGACCAAGTTGCTTGATTTCTGTACGTGATTAAACCATGCTAGATTTCTGAATCATGGCAGGAAAATGGCAGTCATTGCTAGTCGCGGGATTCCATGGGTCCATATGACAGCAGGATACGGTCGTGCAGAGTTTGGGATCCCCAACATGAAAAACATTCGAATTGTACGTCCAGAAAGCTGTGTATGACACATGACTCTATGATGATGAAGACTGCAACATTTGTTGTAGGGGTGAAAGTATTTGTTCCTTTGTGTTGACTTGGTAGTCAATGAGTTGCCTGCAATGGATGCACCCAGCCGCACCCAGCTGAGCTGGTATGTTTGCGACCGAAAACCTTTTGAAGATCTATCTATGTTGATCTAAGTAGTTTTGAGTCCTTGGGATGGAACATCAACATATGTTCTGGCTGAAGTTTTTAACCAGAGCGCGATTCGATAATGGTATCCCCAGCAATTTGTGACCACTTCAATCTAGGACTGCAGGGACTGCAAGTAAGTTTCATATGGTTCCGACACGCCCAACCTGAACCGACTGTATTGTTTTATCTCAACTGCACCCCTGTTTCCCCAAAAGGGTGTCGTAGTTGTGCACGAGCTGGCTGGATGGCTAGTACTACGGTCAGAATCAGGTTCTACAGTAAGCCAATGGAGGAGTCGAGCCAACATGAATCAGCCGCTTTGGTCCGAGATACTCTTAGGCGCTTCCTCATCTTCAACTGCGGAAACCAGGGAGCCACGTGCAGACGCAAAAAAAACAGGGAACCACGTGCAGACGCAAAAAAAAACATGTGAGAAGTGACATATATACATATGTTACAGGCAAAGAGTATATATATATTATATATATATATATTTTTTATATATATATATATTATATATATATTATATTATATATATATTATATATATATTATATATTATATATTATATATATATATATATACATATTATGCATAGTTTACTATATTTGCATACGTTTCATTTAAAACAGTGATGAAAGTGACCAAATTTTACTGCAATTGGTGCCATGGGCCTTTTTTGCATCCCCGCCTGGTTTTTGACCTTTCGGAGTGAGGTCCAACTCGACCTTTTTCCCTGTCAGCTGTGGGCCAGTCGATGGGGATTTGCCCATCGTCACCAGCATGCCCATTGGATACTGAACATGTAAACATGATTAAAAATGTATGGTTCTCAAAGTTTGGGACCTTCCCCCTTTTTATGGATCCTTTTTCAGCCAGAGTCATTTGGTGGATTATGTATATATATATTATTATATTATTATATATATAATTATACAACTATATACAAAAGTACACCCTATGGTCAAACATGGCTTTCCAGACAAACCATCCCGGTGTCCCGGTGTCCCGGTGTCCTAAGGCTTCCAGCTTCTTCCGGTCGTAGCCGTGACTTGAGGCGAAGTTCACCAAGACCTCGGTGTGTAGGAAACTGCGAGCACCGAGCATCGAGTTTTGGATCACAACGATTACTTGAAGTTGGAATGTGTTTGCTATGTTTTTGCTATGTGTTTGCTATGTGTTTGCTATGTTTTTGCTATGTGTTTGCTGTGTTTTCCAATTTTGAGAGAAATTGGGGGTGAAACCTTGAAAGTTGAAGCCATTTCTACCAAGAATATCCAAGAAACTCTTCTTGAAACTCCGTGGAAATTATATAAAAGTAAAAACATAAAGTGCCCAGCCAAGACTAGAGCCGCCAAATGGACATGGATCGCTAAGGGTATGTCAATGTGAATAACATATCCCATGCATTCTCAATCCGTGTCATACTGTATGGATCTGAATGGTATGTCTACATATTGTGAGAAACATGGTGAATGGGTGGTTTTAAGCATATTAGGTGGCCTGAAGTGTCATCCTTGTGGAACAAAGCTGGCTGTTCTGGATGTTGGAACCCGTACCCAGAACCGGCCCAACACACCCCTCAGCCAGGAGGCTTCCAAATTCTCGTTGGCATGTCCTCAGGTTCGGCCCTGAAATGATTTCCCAGTCAATGACTTGCCATCTAAAGGCCTTAATCCTTTCAGATTTCAGGAATTCAAATCCAAGCTACTCTCAGCAGAAATCGTGTGAATCTAGATAGTCAATCTAATTAGAGGTTTCAAATCCACAAATGCAGAAAGTTACCAGCACGCAGCATAAAGTCTAACTAAGGTTTTCTCGCTGCCACACCATCACGAAGCATAATGTGTAACTGTCCTGTACCTCCGTAACTCGAAGAGGACTGAGAAACTAATCAGTACATATCAGTGATTCAGTACCAATCTGCATGGTGGTTTTAACTGAAAAACAAAGTCACAAAAACGTCGACTATTCTGCTGGGTCCATGTTTAACATACCCAGTTCGCGGATTTAAATCGAGTTCCAGGTGCAGCTGTATAGGTTCACTTGGTTCACTCGGCGCTGGTTCTTCCCCAAGTCGGTTTTTTGTGGTTCTGGCCGCATCACCAGGGTATCACTAGGCATTGTAAGATGTTGTACCTGACTTTAATGACACGCTAATTTCCCTACTGAATTCATAGGTTGATAGGTTTCCCAAGTCATGGGAGTACCCAAATCCAAGTCATGGACCAATGGACCGTGTAGAATTGAAACCCATGGTGACTTCCGTGACTTGCAGCAAGGGCTCCATCATCTGGATTCAATGCAACTGCTTTTCTCCTCAGCTATCAGACCCTCCAAAAAGGCCAGGCCCCACTACACCTGTGCGAACTGCAGAGGTATCATTGGGAATCTGAACATGACTCACATGACTGGTGGTAGCATTGTAGCATGGCTTCCAATCAGCTTGCTGCGGTTGCAATGCAGTGATTTCAGGCTGCAAAGTGAAGCTCAACTGGGACACCCGCCCAACTGGGAAGCCGATGAATATACTGTCAACCCCAGGCTTCAGCCGAGCGACAAAGCCTTTAAAGCCAAGCCGAACTCCTGTCGCGAAGAAGGCGAGAACCCTCTGGATCAGTAGCTGAAAGTGTGAAAGTCTTATCGTTTGCATTCGTGTGCATAGAAAAAGGCTCCTTTTCGCTGGTAAACAAGTCATCAAGTGAATAATCCAAGAGGATCCAAGTGCTTTCGTGAGGTCTTTGGATGAATTTTGGAGGAGCTCACATCTTCAGAATTCTCGCGGCCTTCACCAAAAAAAAGAGACACCCCCCTTAAAAGCCTTACCATGGTGGAACGTAGTGGAATTAGGAAGTGATTCATTGGGAGCCTGGAAAGTCTGGAACACACCCACAGGACCAACAAGGGCTGCCATCTATCATTCACTCATAGGAATGGCAAAAATGCTAGCTCGAAAACCACAAATGGGATCATTTTTTATATGTTTTTCATGCCTTTCCGGGAATTCACGATTTGAGTAAGAAAGAAAAAATCGGAAATCCCCCATGTTTTTCGTTGATGTTAAAACCCACAGGAATTTCCCAGCCAAGCTGCACTTGCAGCTACAGTAATGGTCATGTTCCAGTTACTAATGGTGAATATGTATAGTATGCATCCTTTTTTGGATTGCTATAGTATCCAATGGTTTTCCCACGATCCCATTGATTCTGGCTGAAATAGAATCATCCAGCATCATTCCAGTCGCGACGTCTGCGACGTCGCGACGTGTCAGGAAATTTAAATTTCTCCAGCTGTTTTTGTTATCCAATGTTTTTCCCCAAACTATTATCGCACTGATCCATTGGTCATGTATTGTCCCGATTTCCCATGTTTTGGATAGCCATGGGGCCCCCATTCGCCGGCGGCTCCGCACCTTGTTGCGCATGTAGGCAACTCCCAAGTTGGCCTAACTTTTTTCTGTGGATCCGATCCCGGCGATGAGTTTGAAAATCGGAAAAACCACCAAATTTGATGGTTAATCATGGTATTTCATGGATTTCCAATGGTTAGTCATGGTATTTCCCATTGAAGTGGCTATTTGATGGGTGCTGTATTTTCGGTATGTTCAGTATTTTCAGACACATCCAAACGTAGCTTCGGATTTTAGGAGATTGGGTTACACATGTTTGCTGGGTTAGGGGACTGGATAATCAACAAAGCGAACATTCGTGTTGAAGATATGGAAAAGGGGGTCAAATTCTGTACACCAATACTTGGTCCATGCTCAACCCCATCAGATCTAAATATTTACGTAGGTCTTATTAGCCTCTGGTTATGACTAACAAAGCCATGGGAAATGGCCCATAGAAATAGATGATTTTCCCAGCGATCGAAACCTCCATTTATGGTTGGGATTTTCCATGGCTATGTTAGTCATAACCAGATGGTAGATCCAATGGATAATATCTAAATCCAATAACCAGATGGTAGATCCAATGGGAAATACCATGACTAACCATTGGAAATCCATGAAATACCATGATTCTCTGTTTGTTGTATATGTTTGGCTTCTTCCTTTAGAGATCAGATTTTCGCCACAGATCCAGAAGTCTGGTCTGAAGGACAACAACTTTCGAGGAAGCTACGAAGGAGACATGCTCCGCAACAAACCTGGCTCCGCAGAGGTCTTTCGGGGCTCTTCATGCCACCGCAAATGATGGTCTGAATACTGGGTGATTGGAAAAGTGAGAGCATTATAACTAGCCCCAGTTATAAGTAGGGTAAGTAGGGTTAGTCCAATTATACTTGGGGTTGCAGTTAGACAACTTTTTCACGATTCCTGTGGTGAACCAACCACCAAGTAACGAATCTATTGTGCTAATGAAATGATGGATTAGCAATATGATGATTACAAATACATGATTGGTTAAGATGATGGTATCTTTGGTCAAATATTGCCCATGGATTAACAGATCTGACAGATATTGAGATGATCCCATTGTGCCAACTGGTTTCATTTTCGTTGTAATCATACTAGTTCCATGAGAGTTATAACCCAACTGCGGATGGATTGCCTGAAAATCCAATATGGAAGCCATACAAAAACCACAAAACCAGGAGGGTTTTGTGGTCACTTGGTCGGTGGATTTCATGGGGGCAACCAACATTGAAATACGGAGAAATTCGGATCGCACTACTGTACCTGGATTTTGGTGCCATTTTCCCCACTCAATTGGATGTTATGTTTGCTGCGCATCAAAGACAAAAAAAACCTGTCTTTAAGATTCTTTAAGTATATAAGTATGCCACGCATCTCAACACATGTCAACACATCCTCAGGTCTACGAGCATCCTACTAGCCATTACTAACCATGAAGTATGCCACCACACTTACCACACGCATCCGGCATACGGCCCATGCTGGTGACCTGGCAGCTGCCTTAAAGCTCTCAATGGCCTGGCTCCAATCAACAGCAATTGAGGCATTTCCACCGCCAACAAACCATGGAAATCCAGCGCTGGATGTTACCAGTGGATCAGCGCCATGCTGCCAGTCGATGCCAAACAGAATCGACATTTCATCCCCAACAGATATTTGATCTCAAGCCAGGATAGAACATATATAGATGTGTCTGAACATGTGATACTGTGATACCCTCATATTCCAAGTTTACAGTTTACAGATTTTCCATTGAAACGGCTGCAAGATCATGATTTACGAGTGATCAAAATCGAGGTATATCAAATCATATTAAATCATATTAAATCATATTAAATCATAATTCACTAATCTGAAATAAGGCGATTTTGGGATGATTCCCCACAGTCCTCAGGCAGGCGACCGGCACTGGCAAGTTCCTGGCTGGGCGTCGCACGAAAAATGGGAAGCCTCGTTATAGGCTGGGGAAATCATCATGAATGGAGGTTCATAGCCAATATATAGAATATGGTTATTAACATATATCATATTATAATATATCTATATATATATTTGAATGGAAATCATCATATATAATATATATATATATATATCTATTTTATGCCAATAAACGTCATGGATGTTTCAGAAATGATTGGATCTGGGTAGCAGTCTGAAAATGGGATATACCCCGATTTTAACCGTCCAAGAGTTGAAAGAAAAATGATGCGAACCATGGGATTTTTACCGGTTGTCCCCTCGTTTTTCAGACACGCCCATATCACCAAGAATTGATGGATGATAATTATCACAAAAATTAATATAACCAACTAATAAACTAATGGTAAATACATTTAGTATACATGAATTATAGTACTCAAATAACCATATATATATATATACATATATATATATATAATCAATACCGGAATTATAATCAAAAGTAGGTATTGTACATTAGTCATACAATTAGCAATCTATCAATTCCTACTGGAAAAGCAGCCAAGAAAATAGCCTCTGGGTCAAAAATTTGTCGACAGTTATAGTCATGCCCACTTTTCTAGCTCTAAAACAGTCATCCCCATTAAAATAGTGAAGATTCACGTTTCTATCGTTCGGGATTACTATATCAATAATTCATATAACTGTCCTAGGAATTCCTAATCACAGAATCTAATTTCTAATCAAATCTAAAACTGTGAAAATAGTCATTCTCCAAAACATATCTGAAAATATTCATATCATTCCCTTGATAGTCATATTAGAATATTATATATATATATTAGTCATATAAAAATAGTATTTATAGTGAGAATACTCATTCCCCCAGATAAAATCTATATGGGGGTTTCTACAAATGGGGAATCCCCAAAATGGTTGGTTTATTCAATGGAAAATTCCCAGCTAAAAATTGATCATGTAGGGGTACCCCCATTTCAGGAAACCTCCAAATACTTACTTTTTCCAGTTGATAGGTGGTAAACATCCCATTCTAATCCCATTATTTTACAGTGTGTCATAGGTACCTAATAGTTCCCCCGATAAAATAAAAACAAATAACAATAACTAACAATATCATACAATATTTACTCGGGGTGTCTGAAATATGCTTAGTGTACCCGCATTTTAGGAAACCTGCATATATATATATATATATATATGTTTGTCTGAAAATAGATTATCAAATAAAACAATAGTTTCTCATCAATTTGCCTAGGTTTCATAGCCATATAGTACTTATAGTGAGAATACTCATTCCCCCAGATAAAATCTATGAAATTTTAACAAAAAAATGTATGATTTTTATAGAACTAATATATGACTATCAAGGGAATGATGGGGATTTTCCATTTATGGAAACCCCCATATACCCTCTGGCAAACTAACATAACTATGGGAAATCACCATGCTATTAATGGGTAAATCCACTATTTCTATGGCCATGTTCAATAGCAAACTGTTAGTTTACCAGAGGGTATCAGCAAACCAGTTGGGATGATGACATTCCCAATATATGGAAAAATAAAATTCATGTTCCAAACCACCAACCAGAAATATATAATGGATCAACCATCAATTAACAATCAACCATCATTTATTGGTGGGGAACCAACCAGTAGATGTTTCAAAAAAATGATGGATTTTGATGGATTTTGATGGATTTTGATGGATTTTGATGGATTTTGATGGATTTCCCTCCTTGGCCACCCAGTCGTGCTGCGCGGTGGGATCTTCCAAGTCGTAGCCCGGCGGAGGGACTTGGCAAGCCGTTCCGTATGGGCGCTATGTTGGCTCGCCGAGCACGGGAAAATCACGGGAAAATCCAGGGAAAATCAGCCTTTGTTTCATGAAATATGAAGAAAATATGAAGATGTTTTTCGAGAATTTTTTGAAAAAACGTTGAAGAAATATGAGATGAGTTCTATTTTACAATCTATTTTACCTATTACTGTCATGGTTTTTACTTGCTGGTCCACACCACGAATCCTAACTGACTGGTGGGGGGTTTGCCCATCAAACATGGTGTGAAATTGTTTTTGTTCTCGACCAACTCGACATTTTTTGGGGTAATGGTGATCATTGGATAATAATGACATAAACTAGTGGTTGTTGTTTGTGGCTTTGTTGCCCCAGCTATCAATGGGATAACCAAAAAAAATCGAGGACTTCTGAAACAGGCTGTCGAACCGTCTAACCGTTAATAAGTTATTACTCAGTGCTATGATCCTCCAAGCAATGCACAAAGAAAATCAGAAAGGTTCAAGTTACCCTCTGGTAAACCAACAGTTTGCTATTGAAAATGGCCATAGAAATAGTAGATTTACCCATTGAAAATGGTGTTTTTCCATAGCTATGTTAGTTTACCAGAGGGTACCACTAGTTTTTCAATTTCAGGATTATAGATGTTGCTAACATATTATTTTTTGTGTGGCTGCAATGGAAAACCTAGCTGTTCACTACAAATCGACCCACATCGAACCAGGGTTTAGTCAGGGATAATGGCCATGGAAGCAACAATTTTCCAACAGTTGGAGGTGTGGGCAACATGGATGCGTAAGAAAGGGGACCACCATGCCGCATCAAATCAATCTGGATAGAGGTTTCCAGATCAGGGATGCTCCAATAGCTGGATGGTTTATAATTTTTTTGGGGGGGGGATCCCATTGAAGATGCCGAAAAAAGATGCCGAACGATGTTTCCAGGATGAAAACATGGTGGTTTCCCAATGTGTTCAAAATATGGCTACCCAAAAAAACATCATCCATGTTAAAAAAGGATGTTCCACGAAATAAACCATCCAGCTATGGGGGTTAGCCCCGATAACTTCGGCAAGCTCCAGATCTGTCCGGCCTGTTTGGGGATGATCTCCCCAACCATGGTGAGGTCATGGATGTCATAGCTCTGCAACAAACATGATCAAACATGTCGACGTTTGATGAATCATGTGTGATATCAAAGATGGTTTTTCAAGGTTTTTCATGTCATGAAAAACCATCTTTGATCTGGAAAAAAATGATGCGATTTGCAAAACTTCGAGGACATTGTTGTGTTGATCCCCTGACTAAGCATGACTAAGCACCCCAGCGTTGCGCGGCGACCAGTGCCACCTGAATCCAGGCACTGCACCAATTCGGGCATCCAGTGGCCACTGCGGGAAATGATGGGGTACCCATTCGATGGAGCAATCACTGAGTAATCCCAAAATGAGTGTTTTTGGGATAATTTGTTTGTTGGAAATGATGCTCTGTTTTCGCTTCACAAGGTTCCAAATATACTTCCTCTGCAAGCAAACTTGACTTCTGAGGCTTTCCGAACTGCAAAATACGAACAACACATCAGCAAACGCATGCTTTTAGCTCCCCAAGAGCTCCCCATTCATCAGCGACTGGGCGCCAAGCTACCGCAAGACAACGAGGCAGTGATGCACCCATGGCGCAACTGCTGAGATCCAGGGGTCTAAAGATGTGGGAATCGTCATTTTTGGGTGGGATTTACCAATAATACACCTGGACATATACATGAATAATCATGAATATGATGGGATGTTTGGTGAAACTTTTAAACCTCCAAGGTGGTGCCCCCTATGTTTGTTGGTGGCTTATAAATTATAAGCCATCTGAGCAATTACAGTATATCTACAATAAACATCAATCAACCATAATCAACCCTAGTTATAGTTATCCCACGTATAACCAACCTAGCAAAGTAGGGGGGGCACCATCAACTAGATAGCAAGGGTAAATATCCCGTTACACGTATGCTGTCAATTTCGACACTTCAGGAGTCTGCGGCATCTGTGGCATTGCTGCTGGAGTCAGTTTCTGCTGGAGTCAGTAAACACATGGTCATAAGATGTCATAACTCAGCATGTTTACAACTTCACAGTTTGCTGTTGAACATGGCCGATGTGTATATCATTTACCGAGTTTTACATTACATTGTATACATTTACCGAGTTGTTGTAACTCACATTTTTGGTGACTGAATGGTCCATGCTTGACTGGGCTCTACACATTGACTCCAACCTGATCTGCTGTCAATGGCTCGATGGCCCAATGATCCCACTGCCAGCAAGTTCTGTTGCCACGCCCGGTGCACGGCGGAAGTTTGTAAACCATAGACTATGGATATATCATGATAATTCATGATATATCAGGAAAAGCCTGGCAAATTCACCCACTTATTTTTAGCATTGCTTAAGGATTTTGGAAAACCACCTTGTGTATATATATATAGATATAGATATAGATATGGGATAACCCCAGTTGGGGGACTGAATAACCACGGTCTTGGCCTTTGTGCGGTCACTCTACCCCACACCGCCACGTGACTTTTCTCCAGCGAAATTTTCCTCGAAGTGTGTCAGCGACTATCTCTATACACTTCAACTATATATTAAGACTATAGAACTCCAAGCATCCATGGGTGCATATCAACTCTTTAAGTAGATTGAGAAATTCCACAAAAACATACAAAAACCATCCATGGATGCAAAGAGTGTTGCGGCCTTGTGGAAGATTCAAAAAAGGTATGTGAGCTACTGAGCTACTGACAATATTCTGATTTCAGTACTTGCGGGTTTCTTAAGCCATGGTGGATCCCCAAAAACATCCAAAAACCCATAGATTTCAAAAAACTATGTCATGGTCATCCGTGACTTGGATGATTTTTGCGGGTACCCCCAATCCTAGGAAATGCCCACATGATATGTGTTGGCTTCACCGAACCCATGGCTTTTCCATTGGGTTTCAAGCAGCGGCTAGCGGAGACGGCTAGCGGCTATGTGCTTTGGGTGGCTCCACCATCCATGAAACAAGAATTTAAGGATGGTAAACCAGTCGTGTGGTGAATTATATATATATAATAGATATAATAGATATAATAGATATAATAGATATAATAGATATAATAGATATAATAGATATAATAGATATAATAGATATAATAGATATAATAGATAGATACATAATACATAATTATAATACATAATTATAATCACATGTCAAGTTCATAGGAATTATTCATGTTTTCATGTGTTTTGTGAACCAATGGATGTGCTTCCCATAGTACTATTCAAGAATGTCAATCTGAGTAAAGAACAAAATACATCACAAACCTGAAACAAAGATCTTCATGATCTTTTCCCGTCTTTACCACTCGAAAAATTGGATG